CGGCCTGGCTTTGGTACGCTGGGCAGACCGCAGCTGCTGCGGGCGAATTTCAAGGCTGTCAGGACGACAAAGAAGACGCTTTTCGATTACGAGGTGGTTATCGAACCCAAGGGAAAAGCCGCCCGCGCCGATCGTAAGGCCCGTATTATGCAGCTCTTGGAGGAGCACCCGGAATATAGACCGCATGTGGGCTACGTTGCTCACGACCAGGCCCAAAGGCTCATATCTGCAGCGAAGTTGCCTCAGCCGCTATCTATGCAGGTCCAATACAGGGAAGAAGGAGAGAATACAGCCCGAGATAATGCCATGATATTCACTGTCGACATCAAATTCAAGCGCGAGCTCGACATGGCTCCCTTGGACAAGTAAGTTTGACGCCAGACTTCACGGACCATACTCATCATGTTCGATGACAGCTACATGAGTGGCCGTCCTGAATCAGAGACTTATGATACACTTCCACTCGTCTCCGCTTTGAATCTGGTCCTGCAGCAACATGCACAAAGGAATGGGTTCCGCGTCGGGAAGAACCGTTACTTCTTCCGGGCTTCCTCCGAACGGCAGGCGCTCAGTCTCGGTGTCGAAGCCTGGAGAGGGTTTTTCATCTCCGTTCGCCCTATGTATAAGCAACTTATGGTCAACGTGAACGTCTGCATGACTGCGTTCTATACACCGGGCAATCTCGCCGTAGCGATGGAAGAGTTCCAGCGCAACACTGGCGGTGGTATGCCGAGAGCGTTCGCAGAGAAGCTGAGAGTTGCGACCACTCATCTCGGATACGCGAGAAAGAAAGCCATCTTGCGCATCACGAACCAAACTCCTAAACAGGCTCGCTTTGACTGCCAGGAACTCGGAGGAATGGTTACTGTCGAAGAGTATTTCAAGCGCAGTAAGTATATCTGCCACCTTGCGCGTAACTCGTTGCTGAAGATGTTTTAGAGTACAAAATTACACTTCGCCATCCCAATCTACCCGTTGTTGACATCGGCAGCAAGCAAAAGCCGAATCTGATACCACCTGAGCTTTGCGAGATCTTCCCAGGTCAGGCTTATCGGGGTAAACTCAGTCCCACGGAGACGGCTGAGATGATAAAATATGCGTGCAACCCGCCAATCGTTAATGCTATGTCAATCCGTGACCAAGGCATGCCTGACCTTGGTCTGAACCCAGCGTCCAATACGCTCAATGGGTTCGAAGTGTCGGTATCCACCGAGATGACTGTCATCCCGAGTCGCGTCCTCCCACCGCCGGCTATCACCTACCAGACGGGCAGGCCCAGTCCTCGCGACGGCAGCTGGAACATCTTGAATGTGAAGTTTCATGTCGGCGGAAACATGTCGAACTGGGCGGTATTGTTAGTTCAGGAGGGTCGCCGCGACGAGTTCAGCGGCACGAACGATCCGGATCTTATGCCTTTCCTCCGCACATTCTCGGAGAAATGTAGATCGAGTGGCATGAATGTCGGCCAAGGCCCTCCGAAGGTCATGGCTACTGGGAAACTGCCTCCGCCTAACCGTGATTCCAATAGGCGGCAGGCACTGGAGCAGATTCGCCAGACGCTGATCAGCAACTTGGACCGCAACAAGAAACCAAGCTTCATCCTCGTTCTCTTGTCTGGCGTTGATAATTTTATTTATCCTGGGATTAAGCGGCTTGGCGACGTGGACATGGGCCTACATACAGTGCACATGCTCCTCAATAAGGCTCGCGGTGATCCCAGGAGACCGAATCCCGGCAAGCAAGATCAGTATTTCTCGAACGTTGCTCTGAAAGTGAATATCAAGCTAGGCGGCATAAATCACAAGCTGGATCAGAATGCGATGAGCTGGTTGACGAAGTCAAAAACGATGGTTGTCGGTATCGACGTGACTCACCCAGGACCGTCAAGCGCTAAGGGAACGCCCTCGATCGCTGCTGTTGTCGCCAGCATCGACAATAACTTCGTTCACTATCCTGCAAGCCTCTCACCTCAGAAACCAGATTGGAATAGGGACGCCAAGGAGGTATGCCCTGCCATCACTTTACCTCACAGTGCTAACATGCTCGTTACTAGATGGTGGAGAATCTCTCCGCGATGATGATTGAGCGTCTGCAACTTTGGCAGAAGAAGAATAAGTCCCTCCCGGACCGCGTTATCATCTTCCGCGACGGTGTTTCAGAGGCTCGTGTTTCTCATATGCCAGCGACAGTCAGCCTGATTCTGACCTTGATGAAACATAGGGCCAATATGATCTCGTCATTCAAGAGGAATTGCCACGGATTCTGGATGCATTTAAACGTGTTTCTCCTTCATATCGACCCAAACTCACTATAACGATCTGTGGGAAACGTCATCATGCTAGATTTTTCCCCACGGACAAGAAGGACGCGTCGAAGAATGGTAACACGCTTCCCGGTACGGTCGTCGATAAGGGGATCACGGACGTGTACGGTTTTGATTGGTATCTGCAGGTGCGTTCACGCCGTTCTGATCAGCATAAGCAGGAGTTGCTTATATGCACGTTACAGGCACACTCAGGACTACAGGGCCACGTTCGACCTACGCACTACTACGTTGTCTACGACGATTCCCAGTTCAGTGCGGACACTTTACAGCAGGGCACTCACACCGCCAGTTACCTCTACGCACGCGCCACCAAGGCCGTTAGTTTGGTTCCTCCCGCGTATTACGCTGACCTCGCATGCGAAAGGGCCAGGTATTATTTGAACACCCTACTCAATCTGGCCGACCAGCAGTCGTCGACAGGAGGGAGCACAAGTGGCCGGCTTTCCGATGAGGAGGAGAGACAGCGCAATTTCGATGAGGCGATCAAAATGTGGGGTAATGGAATCCATAGCGATCTCAAGGAGTCCATGTTCTACATTTGAACCTCACGCGCCGAGCGTGTCGGACGTGATTGCCTTGGATGCTGAGATTCCTGGCTGACGTTACAACAACATGTTTCTGTATTCATGTACAATATCGGGCTTTCGAGCCTCGTGCTTGGGTATGCATTAGCGTGGATGTGCTCATGAATCACGGGCATAGACCACTGACCGTTGATGGCTCTGGAGAACTCACTTATCACGACGACTCCGTTCACCTCAGATGTGTTTCATACCGTGTCACGACCCGGGCAGCGATGGTTCCCGGTTCTTGCTACGATAGCGAAAGGCTGAAAATGGAAATGCCGTAGAAGGCGTTGCGAAACACGCGCAACCAATATTGCAATCTGAAAATGTGGCAACACCGGACGTACGTTCAGAACGCGACTGGTCGGACCTCCCTTAATGATGATGTCGATGAACTAGTGGGATTTACGTGCATAAGAATGTCATTGCAAATGAACATTCCCACCACTTATCGTAGTGGGTTTTAAGTTATTGCCGTGAAGCTCAATGAGGAAAAATCCACCAGTGTTCAGGTACAAATTGATGCTTTCTTTGCTAGCAGCCTTCTGCTCTCATACTGTGGTGATTTATTTATATTGTAAACTCACATGTTCTATGAAATATTCATGTAGCCACACTCAAATGATATATGTCCACTCTCGCTTCCATGAGCTCAATCAATACTGTCTGTCATATATTGCATTGCTTAACGAGTGCTTGTGGTACTACTGCAGGCCCATCCAATAAGCAGCTATACATGTTCTTGCATGCAATATCGAGCTGTCGATGATTCCGATGCCTCGTAGAGGGGGTACTGCAGGGTACCGCCGGAACGAACTGCCTTATGTGAATGACCGTGAGAGCTTAGATTGCCAATGCGCGACATCAGGCGACATCGTGGGCGCATGCCCCAACGGCAAGCTGTCTGTCCTTGTCGCCGACCGCTGTGGACACGGTATGCACCGCCTCCGCGGTCTCTCGACAAGCTGCTTGCGTTTCACCGCATATAACAGCGCCAGAGCCAATCTACCGCGTTCTCGTCCCATCACCAACGGCTCGAACAACGGAGGGCAGAATCGCGGCGGTGCCCGTAGCAAAGCTGGCGGTGGCGGTAATCGTGGAAGTCCACTTACTCCTGCAGGACGTGGGAGCCCTGTTCCAGGCCGTCGCGGGCAAGCCGCATCCCCAGGGATCACATCTACGGCCTCTATCGCTCCATCCATGACGGGATCTAGCGGCGGAGGCCGCGGAGGAGGAGGCTCTGGCTTCGCGGGGGGACGCGGACAAAGGGGCGCACCACGTGGAGGCGACTTCGGCCGCGGTGGGGGCGGCGGAGGTGGGCGCGGGGGCGGTCCTCCTCCTGGTGAAGTCTTCGAGGGAGCTGGGCCTGCGAAGGTCGACGATCGTCTGGCCACCATAGATCAGCTCATCACCGCATTTAAAAAGCTGCAAGCCCGCAATGAGATGCCTCGCCGGCCTGGCTTTGGTACGCTGGGCAGACCGCAGCTGCTGCGGGCGAATTTCTTCGCTTTGAAGACGACCAAGAAAACAATCTACGATTATCAGGTGGTCATTGAACCCGAGGTGCAAGCCCGGAGCGAAAATATGGCCCGTATTTTTCAGTCCTTGGAGGAACATCCTGAGTACAAACCGCATGCAGGTTACATCGCTCATGACCGGGCACAGAGACTCGTTTCCGCAGTAAAGTTGCCTCAGCCACTGTCTGTCCATGTGCGAATGGAGGAAGAAAAGAAGCAGGATGCTCGGGCTCATAGCAAGGGAGGAGAGAAACAAAATGCTCAGGTTCATAACAAGGAAGGAGGCAAAGATCATGCCCCTCAACAGAACCCGAGAGAATTCATCGTGAACATAAAGTTTCTGCGGGAGCTCGACATGACTCCATTAAATGAGTACGTTTGACGCCAGAACCTGCGCATCGTACTTATGTTCGTGGACAGGCACATGGATGGCCGTCCCGAATTGGAGAATCTCGACAAATCTCCCCTCGTCTCAGCATTGAATCTGGTCGTACAAGAACACGCTCAAAGGAATGGCATTCGCGTCGGGCAGCATGACATTCGCGTCGGGCACCGCTATTTCTTCAGAGGTTCATCCGATCACCAGGGCTTAAGTTCTGTCATTGAGGCCTGGAGAGGATTCTTCGTCTCCGTTCGCCCCATGTACAAGCAGCTCATGGTCAACGTGAACGTCTGTATGACCGCATTCTTTGTTCCGGGCAATCTCGCTACAGCGATGTCGAAGTTTTCGCACAAAGGCAAAGATCGTATGCGGATGGAGTTCGTACAGAGGGTGAAGGTGGCGACCGCTCATCTGGGATATACGAGGAAGAAATCCATCCTGCGTATCATGAGCGAACCACCCAGAAAGCTCAGCTTCGAGTGCGAGGAGCTCGGGGGAGAGGTCACCGTTGAAGACTATTTCAAGCGCAGTGAGTCCGTTCCCTGCTTTGTGAAATGGCAGCAATTGCTGAGATTGCCACAGAGTATAACATCAAACTTCTCTATCCTGATCTGCCCGCGGTCGACATTGGTAGCAAGGAGAAACCAAACTTGATCCCGCCTGAGCTCTGCGAGATCTACGAGGGTCAGCCTGTCCGGGGCAAGCTCAGCGTTACAGACACGGCTGAGATGATCAAGTATGCGTGTAACCCTCCAATCGTCAATGCGCATGCCATCCGTGACCAAGGCATGCCGAGTCTTGGCTTAAACCCCCCCGCTACTACTCTCAAAGCATTCGGGCTGTCGGTCTCTACCAATATGGTGGTCATACCGAGTCGCGTCCTCCCAACACCGGGTGTCGTCTACCAGACGGGCACGCGCAGCCCTCGTGATGGCAGCTGGAATCTTATGGATGTGAAGTTCCATAAGGGCGCGGATATGTCGAATTGGGCAGTGTTGTTGATCCACGGAGGTCGCCGCGACGAGTTTTTTGGACCGAAGGACCCAGAGCTGATGCCCTTCCTCAATAGGTTTGCAGATATGTGTAGGTCGAGTGGAATCAGTGTTGGTCGGAGCGCTCCAAGGATCATGGCTACTGAAAGATTGCCTCCGCCTGACCGAGACCCTCACAGGCGGCAAGCATTAGAGCAGATTCGCCAGACATTGGTCACGAACCTGGGTTCCAAGAAGAAGCCGAGCTTCATCCTCGTCCTCCTGTCCGGTCTCGACAATGACATCTATCCTGGGATCAAACGGCTCGGCGACGTCGATCTCGGCATACATACTGTACACATGCTTCTCGACAAGGCTCGCGGTGACCCTAGTAGGCCGAATAAACAAGATCGGTATTTCTCGAACGTCGCTCTTAAGGTAAACATCAAGCTCGGTGGCATCAATCACATGCTAGACCCGAAGGCGATGAGCTGGTTGACAAAGTCGAAAACGATGCTTGTCGGAATTGATGTGACACACCCGGGATCCACAAGCTCGAAGGGAACGCCCTCGATTGCCGCGGTTGTGGCTAGCGTTGACGACAAGTTCGTCCATTATCCTGCAAGTTACTCACTTCAGAAACCTGACTGGAATAAGGATGCGAAGGAGGTAAGTCGCAATATATTTAAGTGCTTCAAGGTCATGACATCCTGTACTTGAAGCTGGTAGAGAATCTCTCAAAGATGATGGTCGAGCGTCTCGAACTCTGGCGAAAGAGGAATGGCTCGCTTCCAGATCGCATCATTATCTTCCGTGATGGCGTTTCAGATGTTCGTGACATTCTCGTACCATAGCTTCTAACGGTCTGCTCGTGATCTAATATAACCGTAGAGTCAATATCGTCTTGTCATTCAAGAGGAACTGCCGCGGATTCTGGACGCGTTCAAACGTGTTTCTCCGCGCACCACGTACCGACCCAAACTCACCATTACCATCTGCGGCAAGCGCCATAACGCTAGGTTCTTCCCAACGGATCTGAAGGACGCGTCGAAGAACGGCAACCCGCTGCCTGGTACGGTCATCGACAAAGGAATCACGGACATCTATGGTTTCGACTACTATCTACAGGTGCACTCGCAGCCTCTTCTATCCGGTAGGAATGAGCAGAATTTACTCAAGATCACATTGTTAGGCGCACTCGGGACTGCAGGGTCACGCTCGGCCCACGCACTACTACGTCGTCTACGATGACTCCCACTTCAGCGCGGATGTGCTGCAGCAAGGCACTCACACTGCCAGTTACCACTACGCGCGTGCCACCACGGCCGTCAGCTTGGTCCCTCCCGCGTACTATGCTGAGCTCGCATGCGAAAGGTCGAGGTGTTATCTGAACAATGTACTCAATCCGGTCAACGAGCAGCCGGCGGCAGGAGAGAAGAAGCCCGGCCGGATCACCGAAGAGAAGGAGAGACAGCGTAACTTCGATGAAGCGGTCAAGATCTGGGGCAATGGAATCCATGACGATATCAAGGAGTCGATGTTTTATATCTGAGTTTTGGATGTTGAGCATGTACAACAAGGTGTGCTTGTATACTGATTTGTTTTGACTGCTTTCATGCATAGCATGTCGGATTTTTTTGTGCGCCTGCAAAGGAGCATGCTTAGATATGTACTGCTACTACGGATGTACTCATAGATTGTGGTCCATGGGACCAAAGAATGGAACTAGCCTCTCTTCTCATGTGGCCTATCTCACGGCATCACGTTGGAGGAGCTGAGATGATATTGTTACTGGCGGTTGCAAAGGCGAACTCATACGGACGTAGAGAGAGGGAAGATCCATTTGTGCACTCCGCATCCGACCAAACGTGAGCACTCGTAACTCGCTCCAAACGGCCCACACCAGAACGCAGGCGAGCCCATGATGCAAATACAGCGAAATCATCATCGTTTGTTTGGGCTGTTGCCTCTTTTTGTCGCTCGGAAACATTGCATGATGCCACATATAATTACAACACGGGCCCTACAACTCCTTCTTTGACGATTTGGACTCGTCGACTTTGAAGGCCTCCAACGCTCTTAGCCGTTCGCCCAGTGTAGGGTGGGAATGATGATACGCAGAGAATCTGGCAATGCAATCAATACAAAAAGATCTGAAGGGAAGGAAATAAACACTGACAGCCAGTCCACCCACACCGTGGACAGATTCTCCTGGTGCAGCGTGATCAACGCGCGACCGAGTCGGTCGCCCATGTCGGCCATCTCCTCGACTTTGAGCATCCCACGCAGCTTGCACGCAAAATTGTCCGCCTGATACTCGAAGCGCCTGCTCAACGCGTTCATGGCCACACCTACAACGGCCTCGAACGGGGCGACGATCATCTGTACTCACCAGACAATCAGCGAAGAATGTTTTACACGGGCGGTCATCACGTACCTGGAAGAGGAGGAAAGCAACGATCGTCGGCGGGTGCGTGGCGACGTCTGCCGGAAAGTCGAACGCGCGCAGCACAGCGGGCGCGTGCAGGAATGCAGGGAAAATCCCAAGGATGGTGAATATGTGAGCCTGCGAGATGAGTAGCAGCTTCGTCGGGTGCATGTGATACCAGTGGCCAAGTTCGTGCGCTGCGACACGTTTTTGAGACAATGAGCGAGTGGCGTAGGATGAAGAAGGACAGACGTACCGAGAACGGCTTCAACCTCATCAGCCTTGCTCTGCTTGATAAGCGTATCGAAGATCACGATATGCTTGCTCTGTTGTGATATATGAGCACGGAATAGTAAAGTGAACGCCTTTACGCACCCAAGGAAGCCCGTAGAAATACGCATTACTGTGCGAACTGCGCTTTGATCCGTCGATCTCGTATAGATGAGTGAGCGGGAACTTCAGCCGAGATGCAAGTGCCTCAATGCGCGTACGAAGCTCGCCCTCAGCGAGCGGAGAGAGCTTGTTGAATAGAGGCTGAATGACCGTGGGATACAGGACTACCATGACCAGCTGGAAGGCTAGCCTTAAATAATGATCGATTTAGCGCACATGACCCGAGGAGCGTCCTCAAATATCTCACAGGAAAGCCATGAGCCAAGGAACAAAACGGTCTCCGGCCCATTTGAAGATATACAGGAAAGCAGCCAGGAAGGGCGGAACAAGCACCAGGCCGACTGCATAGCCCTTTAGCAGGTCCATAACAAAGAGCACCGGTGTAGTCTTGTTGAATCCGTGCTTCTCCTCGAGAACGAACGTCCGGTAGACTGATAGAGGCAATGACGGGATGACCGATACTAAGAAGAGCACGATCACGTATGCAATGGATTGAAGGATCTAGGAAAGCGCCATGCTGGTTAGCAATGTAGAACTCAAATGCGAAGTGAAGGATTTGACACAAAATGCAGGGAGGGGGGGTAGTCGTGTGGCTTTGAGTCCATGGTTCACAGAAGACGTTGAAAATGCCATCCTTTAGATGATCGTTCACGACCTCGCAAAGGCAATCACAATGGTAGCGAGGCTGAAAGTGGACGGAACGCAAGACATCTTATACATTCTTCATTTGATATAAATTGTGAAAAATTAACGATACACATTCGAGTGCGACGTCGCACTGAAATCTACACTCTGTTGCACTCACCTCATATTCCGGTCCGTAACCAAGTATACCGATGGATCGTCCAGCGACACTCCATGCCCACGCATAGACTCCATACTGTACCAGCAAGGAATCCAGTGTCTGCTTGAAGAAACCTTCAAAGAGCGAGAACTTTGCTTTGTCTCTTCCATACGCCTGGGACTTCGCGAATACCTCGTCCGTGAAGTGTGCCGCCAGAACTGGAGGAGGAGCTGTCTTGGAATAGAGCGGATATTGGCGTAGTCTAATAACATAGCTGGTTTCTAATAGAACTTTTGAGAAACAGCCCGACCTACGTGAGATAGGACTCAAACAAGCAAACCAGCCAGGATGATACCTGCACATAGGTCTTCCAGTCAATGGGCTCTACTGCCACAAAAGCGAGATGTTTTTGCAGCACATCTAGCTGAGTATGTAGGAAATCCATCTAGAATCTCTGTAGCAAGCTTTTTGCAAGAAGTAGAATTGGGCAACGTCGAAGAGTTGGGCACGAAACGAGTGCCGTAGTTGGAGGCGAGGCGAGGAGAGTTCGGGAGTTACCCACGACTTCGTTCACACGGGTGGTCACGTCACAGTGTTTTTAAAGTATCCATTTATATACAATTTATATTGACAAAAATGTGACAGGCGTATGATATACGGTCACTCTGACCACTAGTGACTTGCAGGTGGTGTTTTGTTCTCTTCACACCGCATTCGGAGGCTCATTTGTCGCTGGGAACGCCAAGGGATGTCAGGCGAGGTCGACCGATGCATTATAAAGTTGTGCTCCAGGATGACTTCCGCTATCATGATGAAGCGGACACGATCCAGCAAGGCATTGTTCTGACACACTGCTAGTTGCCTATACGCGCGCGCAAATCAAGCTGCCAGTATGGGCCCCGCTGCGTACTATGCGTACTACCTGGCATGCAGGAGAGATAGGTGTTATTTGAAGTCAACGGACTATAAGGAACCGTTCTCGAGCAGCAGCGTGCATATTCGAAGACGAAGATGGGCATGTTGAGAATGCAAGAGCTTATGAACAGGCCGTGAGCGTTTGGGGCAGAGACGTGCACTCCAACTGGAAAGGCTCAATATTCTACATATAGCGGCTCTGCATCATAACACCGTTTTTATCCGCTGATTAAGAAGGTGAAACGTCTGCTTCTGCACGAATGAATAGCGTTCAAGCGAGCGTCGAGTACAGCAAGGACTCCAGAACATGTATCATACCGAAATCAACCGTTCGCAGCTCTTTGCCGCTCTTCCGCCCATTGTTTCGCTCGAGCGCGCCTAGCTCTTTGCAGCTCCGTGAGGTCTGCTGACTGAGTCTCTTCATGAGCACTCTCCGGCTGCCCAGCAATACGGGCCGCTTGATGATCTCCTTCGTTTCTCCTCGCGATCTGTTCCCTCGGTTCATCCACCGAAGTGGTCCCACTATGGGACTCGGCATCGGCCTCATCGTCGCTGTCCCCATAGCCGCCTAGTCCGGGAAGAGCTACGGACGACTGCGCTTGCTCTGCTCTCTGCTTCTCCTGTTCACTATCAAGGCGTGCGCGTCCTTTGATGACCTCCCACGCGCGGGACCATCGGCCCCTCAGAAATGCAAAGCGGCGATCTGCTCCATGATTTGCCAATATACGCATCTCTAGCTGTGCAGGATTCGGCGAGCTCAGAATGTGCGCGGCTGTACGCCTCATGAGCTGTCTCTGTGTGTCGTCCGGCTACCTCGCATATCAGCAATCGCGTGGATAGACAACCAATATCGCACGGACCTCTTCATCGCTGCCGCCCCATCTCTCCTCATCCGCACCTGCCTCATGGTCCTCACCTCCTTCTGATCGTAAAGCGTTCAATCGTTCTTCTCTATTCCTTTCTATCAACCGTCTCCGCTTGTCGCGGCGATAATCTTCCACTTCTTGGGCGTCAAAGAAGAAGGTATCCTCAGTGTCGGATGGGAGGTCAGACCAGCTCCCCGGAGAGTCAGGTTCATTTACTGATGCCTGTGAAGGCACTAAGCGAAGATGATCCAACAGGAGACGCGCATCATATCTGTATTAAATGGCATTAGTCCGTTACCCAAAGCCAGTGATTGAATGAGAAGTTCCTAATCACGGCTCATAAACTCATAGACGACTCATCCGTGCTCACACAACGCGGGTTTGCGTCAGGCCCTTCGGTATTCCAACAATCCATGTTGATCCTTTGCCAAAAAATAGCCTACCTGTCCACCCATAGACCATTCTCTTCTTCAACGTTCTTGCTATCACTCTTCAACGCATAATTGCGAAGCTGCGCATGGTCCTCGTCAAATGGGGCAGGTTCAGTTTCGCCACTCTTCCACTTGATTAGGCCACCGCCAACGCGCATCCGCTGCTTCCCGTCCTCTTCATAGTAGTCGACTTCAAGAGATGTCGCAGCAGCTGCAGCTTGCGGTCCTCGCACCACATCAGCTTCGTGTGCCTGGATGTATAAAGCTGGATCTTTCGTAGGAAAGGTAGTGCCCTCCGCATCTTCGCTAATCTCGCCTTGATGACGGATGTTGTGCGACCTGTATTTTCGTTTTCGCGACTTCGCATACATGAAGACTAAGGTCGGTACACGAAGTCGTGGCTGAGACTACCGCCAATCCAAGTGCCAGATGCTGTAAGGGGCAAGAACCAAGGTTTGCATAATATGGCCATTGATGTTTTATTTTACGTAGCCGCTGACTTATCATTTTGCCTGATGTGCGGAAATTACTCACGCCACAACGTGTCTTCCAACGACCAACGGCTCACAGCGACGTACGGTGCTCGACGAGGGTGGAGGGTAGTCTTACACCTGTAAATAGACTAGACGATAGTAGACAGCAAAGATGTCGAGCGCAGCCGAGTTGAAGTCGCTAGTCAAAGCCCTGCATGGCACCTCGAATGACGAGGTATGTCCATCAGTAATCCTTCCCTATGGCCTCTCCGTCACCCCCATTTATTTTCGCTATGCTGACTTCGCCTTCTTTTCGGACGCTTCTCGCGTGCGACAGGAGACTATCACCATCCTGAAGACGCTGAAGGAGGAGGCGAAGATCACCGAGGCCACTCTCAGGGTAAGCTCCATTCGAGTGGCGCATGTCGCACACGCTGACGTCCTGGCAATCTTCGTACGTGCTCCAGGAGAGCAAAGTCGGGTTGGCCGTCGGAAAACTGCGTTCGCATTCCACGAAGGACGTCTCTGATCTTGCGAAGGAAATTGTCAAGAAATGGAAGACCGAGGTCGAGCGGGAAAAACAAAGCAGTGGAAGTAGCGGCAAAGCTGTTGCCAATGGCAAGCCATCCGGTATGTCTTCATTTGATGCACCTCTCTCCCCTTCCAACCAGTTCGTGTTTTTTGCATCTTTCTTCGTCCGGCTTTGGGACATTAGCATGGCCGATTGTCGTCAGCAGACGCCAGGAGAGGGGGCATATTCGTTTCTCCGACCCTCGTAGGCCAGCATGGATGGATGCAACTATGGGTTGCGGTATTCTCCATTGGAGAAAGGACTATGAATCTTACCTTGCCTCGCTCGTAGCGGGCGTGGTCGTAGGGATCATCACTACATCCGTGCGTCGGTGCCCCTCCTTGCTTCGTCTGATGTGGCGCGTTTGCGCCAAGAGTCGGATCGGGTTACACCCATGACTGGTTCTCTGAGGATCGTGCGGTCTCATTCATTCGCTGACTATTGATGGTCCTAGCTATGAGAAAAAGTTCCACGGCTTCGAGTACGGCTTCTGGAGCAAGCTCAGCAACGATATCTGCGGCACCATCCACACCCATGACGCCAACAGCCACTAGCGCAAGTGGAAAAGGCGATCTCCGCACGTCCAAAACAGACGGCGTGAAGACTGCTGTTACTGGTGATAAGACGCGAGACAAATGCATAGAGCTATTGTATGATGCTCTTGCATCGGATTCTGGCGCTCGTGAGTTGCATATGCTACTCATTTCTTGTAGACAATACTAATGTTATTCTTAGCAAGCGAGCTTATCATGTCCCGTGCCAAGGGCATCGAGCATACCGTCCTTGGAGAGTTCAACGGTACAACGGCAGCCTATAAGAGCAAGATCCGGTCGTTCTACGTCAATCTCAAGGACAAGAACAATCCTGGCCTGCGAGAGAGCATTGTCAGTGGCGACCTGCCCGTGCAGAGATTCTGTAAAATGACCAGCCAGGTGACGACAAGTCGGCATGGTCATGAGGCCTTGTCGTGCTCACTCGTTGTTATAACTAGGAAATGGCATCAGAAGAACGAAAGGCAGCAGACAGTAAAATCATGGAAGAGAACCTGTTCAAAGCGCTTGGAGCCGAGGAAGTGCAAGCAGAGACAGACGCATTCCAGTGTGGCCGCTGCAAGCAGGTTTGCCACTCAGTTTGGTTTCGAACCAATTCGTTCGCTCAGTGCTCCCGTTGCAGAGGAAATGCCGATACCGCCAAGCGCAGACCCGGAGTGCTGATGAACCGATGACTGTAAGTTCTTCGATTCTTGTTCACTATATGATTGGGTCGACTCAGTATCATCCGCAGACGTTTGTGACGTGCGTATTCACGCTGATCTGCCATTTTCTTCTTCTTTCTAACATGTTTAGAACAGTTGTACTGTGTGTAACAACAGGTATGCGTTTCGATCTGCTTGTGTCAGAAACAGCTCGCTCACTTTCGCGATGTGCAGATGGAAATTCTCTTAGATCACTGCGATCTCGGTTTTTACCATCCTTCCCGTGGTTTGGTTCGCGCTCTTCGTTAGGGCATCATCCTTGCAGACGGATGACCCCTTTTCCTTCTCTCAGGGAGATATTTCTCTGGCCTCGCATCATTCTCCCCCTGCTTACAACCTCCATATTCCGAGAGTGATCAGTTTTATGTGTGTACTCTCATAATGCATCTGAAAGCCCGTGATTGCGCACCTGTCAATATTGTAATTGTTGAGAAAGTGCGATCAGTAACAGTGTTGGTACGAATTAATACTCGGTCACTCTCGCGCGATGCCATTATTTTCTCTTGCTCTTTATCGTACAGTTCGATTACTATGGCGTCTTCGTTGAATATTGCCATTCTTCCCCTTCCTTGAATACCGGCCACTACATCTTATCGGCATTCCACGTTCACCATTACAAAGACGGCAGCAGTCCTTGGCGGCCTGTTTCTTATTATAACCCCATGTTCGCACCGTCGGCTTACCGCAACCTTCTACCAAGCCTGCCATGTCGGATGGTGTGATACCTGCCCCTGCCCACGACGAACGACGGCGACTGCTCGAAAACGCCGACTACGATGCGGAAGGTTCTGGTTCGGATGCAGAAATCGTTGTTGAGAAGAAGCGAAACTGGTGGGCGATAGGCTCGTACGCGGTCCTCACCGTGTTAGGAGGCGTTGCCCTTGGTCTCTTCATCAAGGGCTTCATTGACGCAAACGATGTTGAGGTATGTGCAATCTGTTGATGTTGTTCATATGCCGCTGACGATCTACTAATCCAGTTTGACCTCGGGAAGGCGCTGAAGAGTGCACTCGGAGGCGGTTTGAGTGGTGCTGCGGGTGCGTTCTACATAGTATATTGCCCTAGATCTGATGCCGACATCCACAATGCAGCTATGGTGCTGCAGGTGTTCACACTGATGCCACTACGCACTGTGATGAACTACCAGTACCGGTACGGCACCACGACCACACAAGCTATCAAGACCCTCTACGCAGATGGCGGATGGACGCGGTACTACCAGGGTCTCAGCGCCGCACTGATCCAAGGCCCAGTCTCGCGGTTCGGAGATACCGCTGCGAACGCAGGCATTCTCGCACTGCTGCAGAGCAACTCGTTCATGAAGCGTCTGCCCGCGCTGGCAAAGACGGTCTTCGCCTCGCTTGCGGCGGCGTGCTTCCGGATGATCCTCACGCCGGTAGATACGGTCAAGACGACGATGCAGACGGACGGCAAGGCAGGACTTGCCATCTTGAAGACAAGGGTGCGCCGAATGAGGCTCTGCAGGCGGCGCGGACTGATTCGTTCCTGCTGTAGATTAAGAAGTACGGCATCGGAAGCCTGTGGTACGGTGCTGTTGCTACTGCAGCGGCGACTTTCGTCGGTCACTATCCGGTGCGTTCTTTCCCTCCTCTTTGCTTATACGGAGCTGACATCGCTCGTAGTGGTTCGGAACGTATAACTATCTAGATGCGAATCTGCCGCAGCCGACGACGCTTGCAGAGAAACTGCTGCGACAGGCGTTCATCGGATTCTGCGCCTCCGTCATCTCCGACACAGTGTCAAATTCACTGCGGGTCGTCAAAACGTATCGCCAGGTGCATCAGTCTCGCGTCGCCTACCTCGAGGCGGCGCAGGCAGTCATTGCGCAGGATGGTCTCCGTGGACTGTTCGGGCGTGGGCTTAAGACACGCATCATCGCGAACGGTTTGCAGGGCCTCATGTTCTCCGTGCTGTGGAAACTCTTCTTGGATTTGTAAGTACCTCCCTTCTATTTTTGGGAATCCGTCTGACGGTTGCTGGCAGGTGGAATGAGAAGACGAAATGAACGAACGAGATCTAGTTCCTTGGTAATGATCATTATATTGGTTCTCATTATATCTCAATGGATGCTTTGTCGCGGACCGATGTATCACACTTCCGAGCTATCTCTGTCGGTAGCTAGTGAGCCACATCTGAAGTAGCGTTTGTTGAATTTGATTCCTTCTTTTGCTGTTTCAAAGTTCGTACATGCGTTCTGTGTTGCAGATGAGGCACAATCGGCCTTGACATAGTGCATGTATGAAACAGAAACATTTGTATACCTGAGGATAAACTAGACTACCGTCGGACGTCCTAGTAACCGCTGCGATGATGAAACATCGCTCCCGTTCGTATTGATTGTTGGGCGGTGGCCTGCTTGCAGTGGCAGCGAATTCAAGCCGAGTAAGCCGAGCCAGAACGAGTTGGATCAGTTGCTTCAACAATCATGTGAGCGGTTCGGTTCACGTACCATGAGTGATCGGAGCGCTTGGGCGCTTGAGCACTCGCGCATCTCGTGTCGAACGCCACCACTTCTTTGTAGCTCTCACTCTTGCAATCGTCTTCACAGTCGCAATTGCTACTCTCTGCTCACTGGATTACTTCATTGAGCTAATACCGACATCTCTTGATACCCATGTCAGCCTCCCTCCCACCGTTGAACCCTCTGCTAAAAGTGTGCGGAAAACGTACGCGAGATATCTTCTCGTCATGTCCGGACGACAGCATGCAGGATGAACCCAAAAGGTACGCGGTTTTGCTTGCACGTAATTTGAGGGATCTAAGTGTGTTTGTGCAGTGCGCGGATCCGACTGTCTGTGAAGATGAACGACGAATACAAAGACGTACGGGAGCTACCCGCACAGCTACTTGCACAGCAAGGCCCAGTAGGTCCTGCGCGGCCGAAGGAGCAGCGGAAGGCTATTACTGCTGGACGTGAGTGCTCTATCCACCAATGCAGGGAGTGTGTTATTGAACATTCAGCAGCCGCGACAGACACAGAGACAGGCCGCATGATTGCAATAATCGACAACAAGCCCAAACCACAGCCCTCGACGTTCACTTCCGCCAGCAATCTCTCAGAAGCGCTGCAGCTGCACAAAACAACACGAACGATCAAGCCCACTTACCATCCGCCATGGAAACTCATGCGTGTCATTTCTGGACATTTAGGGTGGGTGCGTAGTGTTGCGGTAGAGCCCGGCAACAAATGGTTCGCGACGGGGGCGGGAGACCGGGTGATAAAGATTTGGGATCTGGCATCTGGGGAGCTGAAGTTGTCGCTGACGGGGCACATCTCGACTGTGCGCGGGCTGGCGGTCTCCCCTCGGCATCCATACTTGTTCTCATGCGGCGAGGATAAGGTGAGTACGTGTCTGTCCCCTCTCTTGATATTTGATGCGAATGGCTCCTCGCATGTAGATGGTGAAATGCTGGGACTTGGAGGCGAACAAGGTGATCCGACACTACCACGGGCACCTCTCTGGTGTCTACGCACTGTCGCTACATCCTACACTTGACATCCTCGTGACATGCGGTCGTGACGCATCCGCGCGCGTCTGGGACATGCGCACAAAAGCACAAATCCATGTCCTCTCCGGTCACACTGCTACCGTCGCAGATGTCAAGTGCCAGGAGTCCGACCCACAGGTCATCACTGGAAGTATGGACTCCACAGTCAGGTACGTACTCTCTTCAGCCGTCACTTTGCTGTGGCTAAAACGGGCTTCAGATTATGGGACCTTGCCGCGGGGAAGACGATGGTCACGCTCACACACCACAAGAAATCAGTGCGCGCATTGGCCATCCATCCCACGGAATATTCCTTCGCATCTGCATCTGCCGGCGGCAACAACATCAAGAAATGGAAATGTCCCGAAGGTGCATTTGTCTTCAACTTCAGTGGCCACAACGCTATCATCAACACACTGTCCGTCAACTCGGAAGGCGTGTTCTTCTCTGGCGGTACTTACACTCCTCTATCGGTTATGAATTACTTTCTGACGCTGTCGTTGGCATTGCAGGCGACAATGGCACTCTCACGTTGTGGGATTACAATACTGGCACTGCATTCCAGACCCTCGATGATATCCCACAACCCGGTTCCCTGGAGGCAGAGGCAGGCGTGTTCTGCTCGACATTCGATATGACAGGAACCCGTCTGATTACGGGCGGAGCGGACAAGACCATCAAGGTATGCTCCAGACCGTCAGCCGTCTACTATGAATGCTGAATTTCGTCGTGCAGGTTTACGCTGAACAGTCACAATAGACGGCTCGTTTGTTTGTACTGTACGGATTGTATTCTTTCTGTAATTACTAATCCTCGCTGCTGGGATAATGTCGTCTACCTGTTTAGAAGGAGACCTCAGAGCATGGTGTGCCAGCTCATATAACAAAGTGCTAAGCAAGATGAACCATAAATATTCATTATCCGCATGCCCGATGACTGATACAAACAGTACAAGACTTCCAAACAACAACAAGGACAGCTCACCGCTCGCCAGGATACACATACCTCTTCGCATCCTCCCTTCCTTGCTCTACGTTGACACTCGTCAATATGGGCACTGCCAGCCACACCATAGCCACTAAGAAGAAGAACGCGTAGCGTATATTGCCGGACGTATCTGCGATAAGTCCTACTACCAGAGGACCCACGAAGGAGCTCGACTATTGCACGCGACCGAGGCGAGATCAGTTGAGAGTCAAGACGTAGAATTGATGACGATGTCAATATACCTTGTCTGTGATAGAAAAAAGGCCATACCTACGCAGGAAAAACCGCATGAGAATGATGCCGGAGCGCAATGACTGGAACACCTACCATCGAGCCTCTTCGCCAAGAGGTATGAGTTCCGCATAGAAGGCGCGTGCATACCCCTGGAACGCTCCATATACTGAGCCCTGCGACGCGATAGCGGTCAGCTGCAGGAACGGTGCTTACCAACAACACAGTCTACTCACGAAATACACCGCGAGCACATACATCTCTCCCCACGTTGTCAGCCCGCCCACGCGTGCGCCATGCTGAAACACCGGCAGAAACCCGAGGCACCCGTACGCAGGGATGAGCGATGCCATCACCACAAGCAGGACGAGCACGCGCAGATTCGTCCAGCCCATGCGCCGCTGCAGTGCGGGCCATACGAGTGAGCCGAGAATGCCCGCGCTCGGCGTGAGCACGCCGATGAGGATGAGCGCGGACGGTGACATGTGCAGCGTCGTCTTACCGAACAGCAGCGCGGTCGACGTGATCGTTGTGAAACCTGAGGGAGATCAGTAGGCTATATGCGGGTGGCGGGCGGCATGCGCACCATCAGAGAGTAGAAACCATGCGGCGAGGTAGATGAACGTGTTCTTGAGCCGCTTGATCTCTCTCCAGCGCAACATCCCTCCAAGCCTTTTCCACGCCTTTCCTATTTCCGCCCACATACTCCACTTGATGCGGCCCTCTCCCCCTTCCTCACCCTCTTCACCATCCAATACTGCAGCAGACGCCCCAGGAAGCCACAGCGCAGCAGGTAGAGAAAATAGCGCCCACCAGATCCCACTGAGGCCTACCGCGAGGCGCAGCGCGAACGTCGACCCTCCGAGCTTCGTCACCGGCACAAGCGCAAGCAGCAGCATCGTGATGCCTGCTGCATAGCCGAGGGCGATGCCCTGTGAGGATATGCGCGCCGTCGCGCTCGATAGTGCGATATCGTGAGCGAGCTTCGCCGCAAGGGCTTCCGCGCTGACCTGGAACACGCCGGGCTCCTGTAAGAGCGGCGCCTCGGCAGCGTCGTCCAAGGATGACAAGCGTTCGTGCTCGTGAAGGCTACCAGCTTCGCTGAGGTGGGAGAATGCGGCATGGGCGGTGACGACTTCGCGCGTGCCGCGCGCGAGGGAGGGAAGGTATGCGTTCAGCGCGACGATGGAGGCGCCGAACCCAACGTTGGCGCAAACTGCGAGCGGGGCGACGAGCAGCCAAACGGGGGAGGACGAGGGGAGGGCGAGGAAGAGAATGGCAGAAAGTGAGCCGAGGGATGCGAAGCCCAGGAGGAGCCGCTTGCGATGAGGCGCTAGGTACCGGTAGGGTTTAGGTGGGACAGGCTGGTGGATGGCGTATTTTACATACGATGGTCAGCAATTCCACCCATGGAGATGACGGTGATGGCTTGTAGGGCGACAGAGATAGAATAGACATACAGACTGGACATATACCGTGATTCCGGTGAACAACAAAAGACGCATACATAGACAGAGGAGGCGTACCTAAAGCTGGCGCTGTCGATCCAGAGCCAGCCAAGCTTCACTAGGCATCGTGAATCTGCCTCGGGGTCTGTGTTTGTCGTTGGAGTCGATTTGACTGCTGTGCAGGGCTCGGTGAGGCCTGGCGCCACAAAGCCATTGTCTCTGCAGTCAACGAACGGATGTCAACATAACGCTCAAAGACCGTCCGAAATGAGCTAGTAACGTCTCAAAGACGAAATACAGGAATGCGGCAATACCAACGCGCAATGGAGCATCCAATGCAACGTGAAAAAAGGAATGAAAACTCTCACCTAGCGAACTGTTCCAGACATATCGGCAGGAACAGCGTCAGCGACACAATCACAAACACTTCGCTTCGCAATGTCCCATTCCATCGCAATCGCCCCATACCCACAACATAAGCACACCACAAGGCAGGGCTTCCGGTCAGACTATGCGCATGCAGAGAGACCATGAATGACTGCTCACCTGGCGAATGCGTAGCTCAGCCATCCGCGCAGCTGCTGCTTGTGCTGGCGGTGGTCATAGTGGGCGGGCGTGTCGATACTTGTCATGAGTATATGCAGTGGCAACGTGCGGACTCGGAGTGGTCAAGTGGTCAGGGGAGAAGCATAGAAGTGAGTCTGAAGTGCAGTCCCTGTAGTCTCCCGTGTGCAGAAGAGTCGATTCCTTTGAGCCTCGACGGCTCCTAATATCCCTATCTGACAGCCACGGTTGGCTTCTGAGTTAAGTTCTCGCTGTCCCGCTGTTTCTGTTGTAGATGTAGTGAGAAGTCGGAGGAGGAGGCAAGCAAGTGCGTGGCTGCGTGCCGCCTGGGACTTCTCGATCCTCGCGTGTTTGTCGCAGCTACCTGCGCCTATTACGCTTGACGAACGTAAATATTTTTATGTCCTTTCAATGTTTCTTGGCCGAAAATCAACAGTGATCTCAAGAATGCGCAGACTGTATAGTAGCTAGAAAAAAACTGGATACAGGGTATATTGCAACATGTGTATTCCCGAATCAATAACGCAGAGAACACCGGCATAGACATCAAAAGTGATACGCGGGTCGGCGACGCTGCCGGGATAGAGGCGCAAGAGCAGCACCGCCCATCTACCCACCGTGGTCACTGAATGCATGACCCATGAGCGAAAATGAATGGACGTACCTGAGGCAAATGCGCATCGATCACATCGCCGTCCTCCATATCCAGCTAATGAAACCTCGAGCATTAAGCACAGACATTTTCCTGCGGAGATTGACAAACGCACTTCCGCGGGGCACTGTTCGGGCCGTAGCCTTTGACCGTCGAACGTGTACTTCAATGTCCCTGGAAATGTCGATGAGCAACCGCAGCCCGCGTTCGGTCAGAACACAGCTCACCTGGCTCCCTGTTGAAGCGACTCTGCACGACGGACGACACAACGTATCAGCGATCCAGCATCCAGATCAGAAGTGTCCATCGCACACACCTCCGCTGCATCAAATATCTTCTTGAAAGGCATACCAGGCTTGACCTTGACGGTGCAGACTTGATTCGCATCCGTTAAACCTGCATCAAATTCTGCACTGACAGAGAATGCTACCTTGGCCATCAAAGTTGATGGTAATGTTAATCTTTGGCTTGAGGTCTTCGCCTTCCGGCGCTTCCATGATTGTTTGAGAGATAGTAAGGCATAGAATTTTGGTGGCGAGTCGCGCTGCATCACGCCTCGTGTGACCGACGCGTCCTGCCACACTAAGTTACAACCCTTTCGTCACGTGCCACGTCCTCATCGTAAGGTCCAAACTATGGTGCAGATTCCGATAGTCAAGAAGGCCCATGTACAAGAATATCGTTGTAGAACTCCACCAGAATCTGCGCCATGAGTCGGTCGTTCTCGCAGTGCGCACGTAGGGTTCGCATCACATGACATGCATTAAGTATAAGGCGCTTATCCTATCTTGATTGGAGTCAAGCGTTTCTTGCTCTGCTCTGCTCTCATCTCCTTGTGCTGGGCCGTGCACGATTGTTTCTCACATACCTCTGCTTGCTGTTTGCGCTGTATCTTTCTCCAGCTTTGACAAAAACACGTTCGGCATCGCAAGCCGGCATTTTCATACGGGCTCCGCGGAAAGCCCACACCCTGTCAATACGCAGTGACAGCTCTGCATCCGCCAACACTTGAAGCATCACATCGACTGGTCTGAATGCTACGACCTATGCCTGTATACTTCGCGTCACTCCGGTCCCTGTATGCGCCGCATTGACACAAACGCGCCATCCGCAACGCCGCTGACCACTATCCGGCTCCGGAGAATTTCCTTGTCTGCCCGTTCTCCCATGTGCGCATGCCGCTCCTGGGCAAAAAATGCGAGATTCAGTGGGACTAGGACTTCTGTGTCGCTTTGCAATGTTTCTGGGAGAAGTCTGTCGTTGCACCTGCGCCCCCCCTCTTAATTTCAACCGTGCAAGCACCCGATGTCGCTCCTAAATCCTCGGCATGATTGTTTTCGACCGGATACGTGCGATCAATTGCGGACTGGCATTGCTGTAGCCTTTTTACGCTCTTTGCTCACCGTTTTTGTCCTCTATATTTCTACGTGAGATTGTTGACAAAAACACGACAAGGAAGACGTTTTACCTCATATTGTCGCTGGACGCCTGACGCATCGCGAAGTATACTCCGATTAGGATGGGATTACACTTCATCTTCGCCGCAAACTTGCGATTAGCAGTCCTATGCGCCGCCATTCTCTCCTCACTGTCCTCGTACGGCTGTGTGTTTTCCTTGCATACCCGTTATTGAAATTGGGTATCCACTGGTGAAAGACAGCTGCCATATGCATAGCAGGTGACTATCGCTTTCACAGGTGACATACCGTTTTTCATCCTGTCATTTCGTTCATACATTGGGTTTAGTGTCATTTAAATTTTGGGTAGTCATAAATGGTGAAATGTCTTTCGTGTCTCATCCGACTTAGATTCGGTCGCGAGACAGCTAAGCTTAGAAGTTGTCACCCATTTCTTCTCTTGCCAGATAGCTTCCATGACGTGCTAACTATGCGACTCTCTCTTGCCTCGTTGTGCAAATGAGGTAGTCTCCCGCGGTGAGCAGACTCGACAATTGGTTCGAACCTCCCCCGACTCCGGATATACTTGCCTGACAAATCGGGTTCCGTTGATACCGCCGTTCGCGCTGCTTGACATATCCTCGCCTCTTGTCTCGCTGGCGCTATCTATAGCTGTGCTGTGCGCGCAGAGTGCGTGCGTACGCCCCCATGGTCTCTCCCCCCTCAAGAATAGCTTCATGGCAATGCTGGCGTCTGCGTGTGGCTTCCGACCACGCTGGAGATGTACGGCGAATACGTAAGTCGGCCGGTATTCGAGTGTCATCTTTCGAGTCGTTCATTACATGCTGTGCCGGTGTACGGCATCGGTCGTGGCTTCTTCTCTAGTCAGTTGAATTCGAAGCGGGTGTTCTCATTGCCGGGCTCGTGCATCGTGTTCCTCGTCAATCGCAGCCAACCTTATCTGGACGTCGAACGATGGAAGTAATTCTTATCTTCATCAGTGCCGTAGCTTCAGCTATAGCGTTCACGTAATCGATTGCCGAGCCTTCAAGAGTTGTTGGGCCTGCAGAACCTGCGTCGGCCTGAGTGCTCTACGAATACGTGGTGCTTTCCCGGCGTAAGCACTGTTCATTTGAGTGAGGATTTCTATGACTGACGACAAACCGCGAGATCCTGGAGTGGGATGCGATTGTGTTTCAGAATCTCAGTTACCTTGATCTGGACGTCGAACGATGTGAACAGCTGTTCTCCTCGGTGTCCAGACTTTAGCCACGGCGCTCTCATACTCTCCGTGTTCTGCGGGCATCGCTATCCACGTACGGCGCCGTCATCTAAGATGCCGAAAAGGGTCGTTTAAAAAACCGAGAGTCAATGTGTGGCGTGTCATCACGTCCACTGGGCCACTAGAAGATGTTTATGTGGACATCATCGAAGATGACTTGTGCGAAGACACCAGACGCCGCCCGTACCAGGCGCTTTGCCACACTGTGGGCCACAGATTCGTCTGCGGGTGAACTCAATCTGGTCATGTTCATGGGTTATACGTGTAAGTCGTAGTCGCGCTAAGGTAGAATGCAGCTCATTTCGATATCCCACCAATCACTCATATGTTCTGAGCAGCTGATATGTCAAGATTCAACAGCTTTAAATGCCCTTCTTCCGACTCATCGGCATTGTACGATCACAGAAGCATCAGCGCTGTCAGCAGCGCCTACTCGCGGGAGAGCCTGGGACAGCGAAGTCGATCCTTGCGGTCTTGGTGGTTGGGCTAGAAGAGATTATCTGTCCCGCGCTTGACTTGTCTGAGCCGGCTGCGTCGTTTGTCGTTGGTGTGGAACGCCTTGAGCTCTGTGTAGACTGTCGAGTAGACGTCACTTTTCATTATAGTATCGGATGCTGCATTCTTCGTCCCCCGGTCCCCCGGGCTAAGCCTCACCGCCACGATATTGAGTTGCACGTGCATGGGCGCTTAAATGGGCGGTACCGGCTTATTAGGCTACTGTTCTCGTGAGATCGTGAGACGGTGCACAGCTGAGCGGTGCAGGGAACGTTGTCAGCACAATACCATACATCGGAATATGTCCAGCGCTCGGCCCAATCTCACTTCTCAGCCTCTGGTCAACCGTAATCCTGTGCGACCCCCCCTCGTCGACGTGCGACGATAAAGCGGACCGAGTAGGCTGACACGGGCGGCTCTGTGGGAGAAACTGCTGCAGCTTCTACCGGACATTTTGACTGTTTACTTTGCTACGCACATTACGACCTCCGTGGTGGCACAGGTTCGATGTCGCAGACCCTCCCCAGCACAGCGAACGTCAGTCCTCGCCCTGATGTCCACCGTGTGATCCACGAAGCCTCCATCAATCACTCTGTCTCCCCAGCTGGCACCGGAGGTCAAAAGCACCGTAGCGCCCTCGTCGCAGGTTGGCAAACCTCCTCTATCTCTTCCCGTCCTCGCATTCATGCTGTGTTGACTTGCTCTCAGACGGGCAGCACACTTGGTCCTTCACCAATCCAGATCCCAGTCTGCGTCGTCCATCGCCTACCACTCTCCCTTCCGACCAGACAGCAGGCCCAAGCACCCCGATGTTCGGCGCACCTCCCCTGTCCTATGACCCAGCTCACGCTATCGAGCCTCAAGATACCGTAGACTATCAGCAATTCATTCAGACTCACTTCCCGACCGGAGGACAGATGGACTACCAACTCCAGACAGGTCACATCGGTAACGCTCTCTACCCGCAGCAACTCCAGGAGATGCAGGAGATGCTCCAGCCTCAGCCTCAGAACCATTTTAATTTCGTCCAGTCGCAGTTCGTCTCCCAGAACCAGGGTGCATATGATCAGAGCTTCGCCCCAGGTCCAACGAGAGAGAGGCTTCAGCGACGGCTTCCGCGGACGACACGCCAGCAACCTGTTACCAAAGCGCCCGTCCCGACCCAGTTCGTTGATACGCCACATTCCCAACTGTCTCAACACGTCCAGGCGTCTACGGTCATGGATGCCAGCTTCCAGCAACAGTCGTTCACCTTCACCCACGACACGCCGCCTGAGACGTACCTCTACGCCAACGACTCCCGAATCATGTCCCATGAGACACTTCCCCGACAGCAGTACCGGTTCTCGGAGTATCAGCACCCTGATCAGCAGATTGCTGCAACTGGCCCGCCGTATGCGCCCTCAGAGCTCAACAGCTACTCCTCGTCGCCCGTATCGATTGCGGAGGATAATCCGCAAAACTCGCAGTTCGTTTCACCCCAACAAGCTCAGACACCCATGGCCGTCTCGATCGCGCCCAACGCTCAGGCCTCCCCTGGCCAGAGCACAGGCAGGAAAGCCCAAGACAAAGCGGGGAAGGGCAGGGAGAAAGCGACAAATCAGAAGAAGCGTGGACGTACAGAAATGCGGGAAAGCGACTCACCGAGCGACGAGGACGAGTTTGCGAACATCATCGTGCCGCCGGTCACCGGCAATGAGCTTCCAAACAGACTGTGCGTATCGTAACTTTGTTCAAATATTTCAGTCCACTGACATCCTTATTCATTCACGCGTCTGTTTCTCGTATTCTTGGATTTTCAATCTTCATGTCACCTGAACTCCGCCTCGACACATCGCCGGTGGCGTCGTGTTACAATTATGACCTCCGAACTGCTTCTGACACCGGATCGCTCTCCTGAATATGGCTCGGCGGCCTCGTGTTCGCTCCGCTGAAACGCCACACACAGGCCAGGGGCTTGCAAGTACTGCAAGAGGCTCAAGGTACGCTCTCCTTACCGCTCGTGCGATCGTGGCTTCTCACCGTCCTCGCATTGTTCTTCCCTGCCGTTTGTCCGCGGGTCCGGAACGGAATGACCGCGTGTGCAGATGAAATGTGACTTCCCACTAGGCGAGAACACGTGCAAGCGCTGCAAGGCGAGTGGAAACACTTGCATAGTCGAGGGCCGCAAGCCACGCAGTGCACCAAAGTGAGTGAATACAATTCCAGCGCTCCCTCGCCTGCAGGACATCGATTAGATCAGACCCGGGGCCCCCGGCTTAAGTAGGTCGGAGGAGGATTCACTCCGTCCCCCCGTGGGTCTCTGTACATCCGGCGATCGCGCCTATTCTCGTTACGTTTGCGATGTCTTCTGCTTTCTCTGCGGCTTCTTCCCCTGACGAGAAGTCAACATCATACTCACCTATGCCTACTCACATCAGCAAACGCGAGTATCTCCTCGCGCAGATCCGTCAGAAGGATGCGATCATCGAACGGCTGGTCCGCGAGGTAGGTGATGCGCCCAACGTGCATGCGCGAGCCCGCTGACCGGGAATTTATTTCGCTTTCGTACAGTCCAACAACCCCTATACAGCGACGCCTTTGTCCATCGCGACATACAGGAATGCGACCTCACCCTCGGACAAGTACAATCGCAACGTTCAGGAGTGGCTCGACCGCTTGGAGGCGAGCGTGCAAGCGGCAGGCTCGTCCGGTGGCGCGGATGCATTCCAGTTCGGGTCACGTGACCAGGAGGAAGGGGAGGATGACTCGGAGGGTGAGCAAGAAGGCGCTGATCAGAATGATCGCACAGAACGAGGCAGCGTTGGAGGAGGCGCAGAGGATCTGGACGGCCCATCGCAAGGTGCTGATGCGCAGGCTCTGCCAGATGTGACCGTGCCCATTGGTCTGCTTGCGAGGTTGTCCCTAAACACGACTAGGGCGAAGAAATCAGGGAAAGATAAGGCTGGAGCGGACGCTGATGATGATAACGTGGTATGTGGTTCCGCCATTGTTCTCCGATGGCTGATGTCGAACGCGCGACGGTTGTCGCATAGGGCTTTGCGAACGAGACGTACTTCAGGCCGGGTAAGTATCATTGCAGATTGGGATATATGCGGTTGATACTGACTCTGAGTGTCAGGTCCCGCATATGACCTCTCTCTTCGGGCATCTTTGATCGACAATCATGGCCCTCCGGAGATCCTCGTGCACGGCCTTGTCACCCCGGAGGACGTGGATAAACTGTTCGAAATGTACGCATTACTGTTCTTACTGTTGTAAGCCCCCACTGACGGCTACTGCAGTTTCTATACAAAGCTCAATGTAAGTGCCCTCCTCGCTTCTATCATTGTTGCCTGACGCCTCTCAGGTACACGTCACTCTGCTCGACCGTGAAATCCACACCGTCCAGTCGACCTTTGCAAGGTGTCCGTTCCTGTTCACCGTCGGTAAGTACTAGTCCTGTAGCTGGTAATAGCACGGTACCGACGTTATAATTCCAGTCTGTGCAATTGCGTCTCGGTATTATCAGGCAAAATCCGAGATCTACCCCATTGCGATGCATTTCGCAAGACGCGCCGCGGCGGACGGCTTGTTGAATGGATGGAAATCAGTTGAGCTTTCTCAGGCCTACATCCTGCTGAGCACGTATGCGGTGCCCGCGAGGCGCTGGGAGGAGGATCGGAGCTGGCTGTACATTGGTCTCGCAATACGGTATATTATACCACAGACTTCGGTTGATAACTGCTCATTCTCGGTTATTAGCGTCGCGACGGATCTGAATCTACACCAAGTTTCGCCGATAAAGCCCAAGACGGACCGTCAGAGGCGTGAGGTTCTGAACAAGGAGCGGACCTGGCTGATCCTCCATAATCTTGATCGGTCAATGGCCACGCAGTTCGGGAAGCCTTCGACCATCCGGGAAGACTAGTATGCATGACTCGTCTGTCCTTATTGCCAATGTTCTCATTTTACTTCTTAGCATCATTCGCAACTCGGCTGATTGGTACAAGAGGTCGCACTTGAACCATCCGGTATGTTCCGGCCTTTCGTCTCCAAATTAAAGTTTTACTAATGCTGGGTGCAGTGGGACACCGGTTTGTCATCATATACACAGTTGCTTCGAATCATGGCGCACTTCCACGAGGAGATTTACTCCGACCCGAGCTCGCCAACGGGTCTGAATCAAGTACGTGGCTCATTCATAGTCAAGGGCCCACACGTCCTGACGCAAGACCAGCATCTGGACTTTCGTGAGGTGACCCTCAGGCATGACGCCGATTTGAACCGATATTTCGAAGAGTGGACTGGGAGATTTGAGCGAGATACCAATCTGGACGGTATGTTCCCGATTGCCATTTTTCATGTTGAGTCATGACCCGAACTAACGCGCGCTGATGTGCAGACCCTGCTTGTGCGTTCCGCGCATCACTGTTGCCTTTGTGCGTAATTATTATATCGCGATTGTGGCATCCCCTAACATCTCCGGCTAGCCTCACGAACTACTCGAGGCTGGTCATGTATTCATTTGGGTTCCAGCAAGCATACAAACGTGGTGTCCGGCCGGAGGATCAGCTCTTCCTAGATAAAGTTTGCTACTTTATATTCATCAAATTTCGGCTATCGTTCATGAGAAAATTTCTAGTGTTTCGAAAGTGCAAAATCTGTCATTTTGTGCATGGTAGATGTGTTGTGCCCCAGTGGCTACATGCGCTACTCCCCGGATGGTATGTTCTTGGGCTTAATCGCCGACGCCGGATGCGTTCTCACCCCTTGCAGGACACTTCGTGTTTGCGTCATTCGCTTCCGCGTTCTTACTCAAGGTAAGCGGCATTGGGTGGCACCGTCGCGTTATCGTCGACTGAATTGACCGTGAATACAGTTAATGCGTCCCGAGTTCAAGAATCTAATCAGCCAGGAGCAGGAGACGGAGATTTTCGACTTAATAAGGCGGCTCATCGAGGCCCTGAAATCGCCCGAGATTGCTATCGATGATCGTCACACGCCAAAGCTGCACGCACGTTTCCTCGCCGGTCTGTTGACCAAGATTCGGCGCGATACTGCGACGAGCGGCCGCCTCCAACCGCAGCCCCCGCCCTCAAGCCAGCCGCCGGAGGTCAACACCGGCGGTTTTGCAGCGCAGCCTGGAAGCTCGACCTCTGCCTCGTCTCAGCCATACCCTTCAGCGTCGTCTTCCACGGGCTTCCAGGATCATGGTCATCTTATGACTGGAGGCCATACGCTCGCGAACGATGTAATGAACACGGAGCCAGTGTACCAGACGGACACTGCGTATACGGTTGGTGCTGCGCCGATGGAAGTGTTTGATTTCAACGCACCAAACGGACATGGGTATGCGGAAGAGACGTTGGGTGCGCTGATTGCACTGCAAAGTCCTGCGTACTGGCGCGACATGATGATGCCTGGGTGAGCTTTAGCACATACCTGAAAGAGAAGCACATCTAACATGGTGGCTCGCGTAGTTATTCATGGCCAGAGTCCCCTCCCCTTACCGACTTTGGGCTGAACCCGCCTGCGCTCGACAACGGGTTCAATGCCATGCAAGCGGAAGTGAGGCTGTTCGGTTAGGTCAGACTCGTTCATGTTTCCCCGGATATCTGGTATTCGTCTTCTTGACTCGTCTTGTAAAATGTGCGAATGGTCCAGTTCTCTGGGGTCGTTCGCCATACATTGTAGCCTATCCTCCTATACGCCAATCTCAAGTACTGTAACTGTAGACTGGTCATCTATGCCTTCGTCTTCGCTTAACCACATTCCGGTAGAGTGATCTATAGCAATGCAATAATCATAGGGTTATAATGAAAAAGTGCTGAGAGTCTATGCATCATGTACAATGCCGTTGGTTAGGTCCTTGCATTCCCAGTCGCAGTTCGCAGCCACATTCGGGCGCTTATACTATAGGCATTCTTGCAATCTGTACTACGAGGCGAGAAACGCTACTGAATGCTCTCAGTTTTCTTTTCACACCCACTGACCTTCAGGCATTCGTCACTCTGGTATGCAAGAACTCGTGCTATTCGCACTCCAGCAACCAAGCGGACCTCGACCGTAATCCGCCCACAAAGTTGGTTGCGGTCTATGCATGCAATGAGCACCGAAATGATGCTGTGAGTGCCATAACGGCGTTGCACTGGGAACGTCACCGAGTTCGAATCAGAGTTGATACATAGGATTTCTCCTTTGGAGAAACTGAAGTCGCACCTGCGCTTCCTAATGACTCTGCGCTCGCGCGAGGGGGTGTACCACTCCCTCATTCTGTTCCGCCTGTCTGCCGGGCAGTCACAAACACGAACGCAATCACAACATACGGAGGAAGATGAGCTCGACCATGGGCAGATATATGTGATGGAGGCGAGCTGCCCGCACCTCGGCGCAGACATGTCGCATGCAGAGATCGAGGAGTGCGAGACGGGCGTGGTCGCGGTGTGTCCGTGGCACAGGTAGCGTCCCAGTAAACGATGCAGCAGTGATAGCTGACGAAATTGGGTTGGAAGGTATGACTTTGACTTGCGCACGGGAGCAAGTGAGACGGGCCTCAAGGCATGTACGTATGCGGTGGAGGTGCGGGCGGACGAGGATGGTGCAGAGGCTGTGTGGATGCAGATCCCGGAAGGTGGGACCAACTGGCGGCTTGTCGAGTTGCGGCCCGTTTCAGAAGGTGTGTCAGGGAGAGTGTAGGTTTCGCGCGGACTGGAATAATTACCTAGACAGAGTTCGCTGACCCGTCCCCGCCACCTGACCTATCGCATCTCGCAATCTCACCGCCGGAGCGGATGACTGATCCCCCTTTTGGAGACATCGTTCCCGCAGAAGGCGCACCAACGACGCTAATGCAATGGGCTGTTCTCATCCTGAACACCGCCGACCCGCGGCTGAAGGTACGTACAAAGCGTCTGTCGGCACTACCGCGTGTCGTGATGTCCGACTCGCTCATAGGTAGAGCGCACCAGGCATGCAGTCCAATTGTTCCGCATGGGCCAACTCAAGTCCATCGGGCACCGCTCAGCTGAGGCCCCGACGCCTCCGGACGTCCCGCTCAGAGACGAAGCATACACGCGCAATACGATGGATCCAGGCAGGATGGGTAAGAGAAAGAACAAGGCAATGATGCTGCACGCGTTGGCCAACATTGAACAATGGGCGTGAGTACTTCTTTTGCACGCGTCTGATCGTTCAGCGATGAATTGGCGTCATTCAGGATTGATCTCGCGTGAGTTTTTGTGTTCATGACATTTTCGCTTCAAGGCCCAACCGATGCGTCATGTAGATGGGACATCATGGCCCGTTATGGTCCGGAACACCCAGATCTCCCTCCTGCATTCTTCTCCGACTTTACCAAGATGGCGCTCGACGAGTCCAAACACTTCTCTCTGCTTGTCTCGCGTCTTGCCGCCATATCGCCCAGCACACCATATGGCACAATGCCCGTGCACGCAGGACTCTGGGACTCGGCGCGCGTCACGTTCAACTCACTGCGTGCGCGGCTGGCGATCATCCACCTCGTACACGAGGCGCGTGGTTTGGATGTGAACCCGGGTACGATTGAGCGTTTCCGGCGTGCGGGCGACGCGGACAGCGTGCGGGCACTGGAGGTGATCCACCACGACGAGGTGACACATGTCACGACGGGACACCGGTGGTTCACGTGGGTGTGTGCGAAGCAGGGCGTTGACCCTGTGCCTACGCTCCGGGAAGAGGTGAGGAGATGCTGGAAGGGAGACGTCAAGGGACCGTTTAATGTGGAGGATAGGGAAAAGGCGGGGCTGACGCGAGATTTCTACGAAGATCTCAGAGGAGAGATGTCTGCCGATTGGGAAAAGTCAAAGGAGACAGCATGACAAGAGTAAGTAAATACTGTTGATGAACCCTGCTATCGTTTCTCAAAAGTAGCTACTAGCATCAGTGTTGTACTGAAGTTCTCGTCGCGTACATTTTCCGAACGCGCTTGTGGCGTGTGAATTCACGTTCGTGTAGGCGCCCAAAGCATGAATGTAACCGTTACACGCGGCGGCGATCTCTCGCTCAGGCTCTTCGTTTCCCGACTTCCAGCTCATATAGCCAATCTACATCAAAAGTATGTTAAGGAAATTTGATCTAGCTGGTGGCATTAGAGCCCCTATTGCTAATGCAATCCGGGGAGAAACCAGGCGCACTGGCAGTCATGATCAACTCGAAGAGAGGTGCATTGGTGAGGCGGTGTGCTTACACTTTTGTCTCATTCAGCGTTCAAATCTAAAGTCTGTAGTTCTTCTGTTGACCCTAGACACGTCTTACGGTTTACAGTTCAATCATCCGAGATGTAATGCTAAAGACACAGTTGTTCCATTGATCCGCTCAGCGTCCCCTGATCAAGGCATCCACGATGCCCTCTCTCTCACAGCCGATGCGCGCGGTAGGCCATCGCGTCCCTTGCACCAAAAATAAAACCGGAAATAGGCTCCTCCGCTCGTAGTCCTTCGGTTGGTCCATATCTCTACATCCGCCTTCCTCGGCACGATCGAATCGTGAATATGTGCAGCCCGTCGGCTTAGGCAGCCCGTCTGTTGCTTCCATTATCTTGTCCGCGCCAAGACCATGTATTCTGGACCATTTTCAGCGATGACACCCGCTAGCAAGGAGAAGCCCCTGATGAACAGGAATTCTGACCTCAACCCACGAGGGGTCTCATGGCAGCGAGCACTTCGCCTTTCTGCTGCACATACAGTAAGGTGTTTCGGTCGTTGACGCTGAGCTGCTGCCTCTTTCGGTGAGGCGTTGATGGATCCAGACTGATTGCTTGTAAAACTCACGATGTCATCTTTGCAGAAACTCAGGAGTAGTATTGGACATCTGAATAGACCACCATGCCCTCGACTGTTCTAGTGGGAGAGGCTGTATGGACAGCCGCGCATCTCGCAGTGATATTCGTCTGGATAGGCTTCGTCCACCTGGCAGCCTACAGCCCCGTCTCCGCAATCGCCGTCGAGTCTCCTCCCTCAATCGCCCACCGTTGTGTCGGCACCTCCTTATCTTCGTCGAGCCGGTCACCAATCGGGAGACGAGAATCGTCAGGGACCAGTGTCGCTTATTTCATTCCTGTTTTCATTGTCGTCGGCGCGATATGCAGCGCGATCTTCGTCCGGCTGCTCTTGCGTTGGCGTGCACACAGGAACCACCAACCTTCGTCGGGCGTTGCCACTCTATTGCATGGCGCGAACGAGAGCGGGAATACGCTCGTACAGGACGACATTTCCATACAAGCTAGTCAAACGAGCAGGCGCGCAGTGGCAATGTCAAGCCGCGACTTTGGCTCTTCTCAGCCCCCGTCTATGTATAGTTTTGCGGAGAAGAAAGCCCCCAGAAGCGATGAGATCTGTTTAGATGCTCTAGCGTACGAGGCTGACGGCATGTCCCCAGCCGGAAAACATCTGGAACAGACCACTGTTGGAACGATCGTCGGGGAGGAGATCGTTATTCAGCCTTCTCCTCGCCCGCGGCGTAAATCGATGCGACGTGGACTGTTGCGGCGGCTTCACAGCCACGCGTACCGGCCGATGCAGTGCGAGGGCGACGCAGAGACGTACGGTCCTGGATCAGGCGGGACGCCTTCGCAGGAGGCTGATGAAGATGGTGGCGTTGTGTTGATGGCCGTTGGCGACGAGTGCGTCGAGTTGCAGCGGCCGCCGCTGGCGCGGACGTCGAGCAGCGGAGGCGATTGGTCGTCTTCGAGGATGTTCAACGAAAGCGACAGTCTCGTGGCTGCTGGGTACGATGCCCGACAATCTACCGGATGCGCACTCTCTGAAGTTCAAGAACCCGCGCAAGGCGGAGCTCGTTCCAACCGCCGTGATATGCCTGGAGAACAGAATCCTAGCGAAACGACACGTGGCTGGAGTTGGGGTTCTGTGTGGATGTCGTCCCCTCCTGCGACGGCTTCAGCTGACATGTACACTGTGATGCCGACGAGAAGAAGCACCATAAAGAACAAGGCGCACAGCCGCACAATGAAAGCAGCATCCGAGACTTGTCTTCCGTCTGCGCTGGAGCTAGACGATTCAATGCTGCCGGATAATCCCGCGCGCACCTTCACGCCATCGATTGAACGCCATGCGACGTTTGCTGGTTGACGGAGTCCCATGGTGGACTCGCCGCATGTTACTTGAGGCACCCGTTGGAGCGGTCGAAGTTGCGCTCTGATCGGTATTTCGGGAAGGGATGTGGCGCGGAGTGTCGGTTTGCATAATACGAAGGGATGGAGGGCTTGGCCGTCGTGGTTGGCGTGGGAAGAGTGTGAGCCATGTAATCCAAGGTGCGCTGTGTAGGATTGCAGAATGTATTTGGATCGCAAGGTGCGGTTGGACAAGACATTGAATTGTTGTACTCTAGTTACTTCAAATGCCATAGGCAGACAGTTGTCGGCCCGCACATGTCCAGACTTTAAAGGCGTGCGGTCGAAGGTTGGCGAGGATGAGCGCCGGAATCTGGTGCCGTCGGATTTCTAGCATGAAATCTACAGTTCATAGCTCCAGCCTAGAAAATGGTGCGCATGTACCGAAACCATCATGTTAGTCTAATATCCAAAATGCAAGCGAGTCTCAGAAAGGATAAAAAGAATATGTCAGGAACCAAGGACCATGATGGTAATGGCATCAGGAGCGCTGTAGGAGCGCTGCAGTCCGCCAGTATCGGCAAACTTGGGGAAGGTGCAACCAATATTGTATGCTGGCCTACTCGAATGCTGTGCAGAGTCAGAATCTTTTGATAAACACACACAGGCAGCTGGTTTATAGAGTTACGGTCACGTTGCGAGCGGACAGATGATAGATAGGTGCAATTTCAACGATGATTATCGACCATTCTTCTGGTGAATGAACAGGCTGGCCTGGAGAGTACGAAATGACGTGTTATGAATTGATATTCGGTGACATTGAAAGTTATACAGACTGTGTACAACGTTCATATTCAGTTATCGGAGTGGTGCATTGGCAGCTGTCACTGCTGTTTTTGTGTTTTTGTGTCTGCAGAAGTGGATGCAACTAGTCAATTAGCGAACGTCACTTGGGATAGTTGCCACAGTTACAGAATCCAACTTCGTCTGAAGTGTGGACGAGAATCCGCTGTGGTTTCAGCTTTAGCTACTATAGGTGGCAAGCATAAAGTTTCCCAAAGCGAGGCAACAGGCGGCAACAGAGCTCAAGTGATCGCTCGTTCGCGTCTGCTCACCACCATAAGTATCTTGTTTCGACCGATCTTCTCGCAATCGCTTGACCACAAGGGATCCACAACGTATAAAATCTCAGTTGTTTGCACAGCTGAACACCTCTCATGCCTCAGATGTCAAACTCAAGCACTCGATGTTTCAACTTTGGACCTCTCGGTAATCGTACATGTACACTGGCAGATACTTCATGCTATCTTCTGGCCCAAATTCTACCACTTCTCATGGGCGGGGCGCACTAGCAGAAAGTCAATGATCAGGGAGGCACGGAAATTCATGCAATCGCGGCCAACTCACAGTCAAGCTCCCAGGTCCATGCAGATCTGTCCTGGTTTGCCAGATAGAGGTATGACTGACGAATGCGTCAGATAAGTCGGTTGCATGGAAGTACCGAATCATTCACCTTCGCAATGCTTTCCGGGTCGAGCCGAACATCAGCATTTTCCTTCCACTCTTTGTTCGCGGTAGGATCGGCACGTCGTGAAAGAGAAAGGTCGGTCAGAATGCCTTGAAAAAGCCCGAACGGCAGTCAGCACATTATTGTCGTCTATAGGATGACCGATTGCTAACCTCCGTCGATAATGGCCTATGGAAGACCACGACAAATGCACCGCTCAGTTCAAAGGCAATGAGTGACTATGATGCGTACTTACGTGCGCGACCTACAGTATCGATCGTTCGTGAGCTCCCCATGCTTTCCACGAAAAAAGGACTACGTACATGGATGTTTTGCTTGCCGAATTCCTTGTTCAGACTCTGGCTGAGAGCCCGCAGTGCGAACTTGCCCGCTGCGAAGGCGCTGGTTGTCACATTGCCTCTGAGACTCGCGGTCGCTCCTGTGAACAGCAGTGTGCCTCTCTTGCCCAGCTCGTCAATCTGGTTCTCTTTGAACGCCAGAATCACTTGGCGAGAAAATGCGAAGGGCGCGGTGATGTTCGCATCCACCACGGTGTTCAGGTCCTGCTCAGTTACATCGAGGAATCCCTTCCAGACTCCGGCGCCCGTGTTCCACAAGGCCACGCGGATTTCTGGCTTCTCGGAAGTCGACCATTTATACTCCTTGATGGTCTGGACCACAGATGTAACCGCTTCGTAGGAGTATGTTGGGACGGGGAACGTGGCAGCCTATGGCAAATATTTAATCAGTAATTGCTGTACTTGATGAATCTGCACTTGCTTCGCCGCCAGCTTGCTTGACGTCTTTCGCTACACTGTTGAGGTGGTCGGCGTTGCGTGCAATCAAGGCGACTCTGTATCCGGCCCTTGCGAACACGCGGCTGTGATATCATTCGGTGTTAGAGCATATTTTACAGTGGTTCAGGAGATACATACGCCGTGGCTGCACCGGTGCCTGACAAATTCCAATATGCATTAGCTTCATTTAGAGAAGTGGGGACGACAATCGTCACCTGTGCCATTTCCAATGCCAGCAATGACGATTACGGGACGAACAGACATGATGGCGAGCTGTTTCTGGTGTCTGTGGTATGGGGAGGACGAGACGCAAGGATCCTGGAGCCGATGGTCTGTCTGAGAATCTCATAAAGGGGCTAGTATAGAACCTCGGATGGCCACGTCAGCAACATACGCCAGCTCGGGAGTATCTTGGTCAGCCCGACCCAGAAGCAATTAATTCCGACAGTTCGGAATATCTCCTTCATTGTGGCTCATGTAGATTGCATCATATTGCACCACGAACAATTAGGGCGCATGAATGTCAGCAGGTCCAAACCACACGCCTGGAGCGATATGATAATGTAGAATACTATGGCAAGTACAGTAGAATTCGTTCGCAAGAAGATACAAATGCGCACGCGACAGTGTTCGATTCAGCGATATTCGTATCATATGACAGAGGATGCAATATGAGGTAGCCACCGTGCTCATTCGAATGCGTGAGAGCGCAATCTGGCGTGAAAAGTCGAGTACGAATGCACATATAGAGCGCACTGCAATGCACGATCTAGAGACTATGAGGCGACATTCATCACAGGACGCTGGGCAATTGTTTGTAATCGTGCGGGACTTCAGTACCATCCAGAGGACGAGACCACTTGTCTGTAGGTGATGATGTCAGCCAATTAGATTGCGTTAGTGCCGTTCAACGTACCCGGACACGCAAGGAAGTAGTCATCCATCGCGCTAACAAATCTCTCCTGATATTCGTGAGGAGGAACTACGGTGACCTCCTTTCCGGCACTCAGACCCTGTTTCGCCTTGTATTCGAGAGTCTTGGCGAAGGTGTAACTACCTATTTTTTGTCAGCATCTGGCAGGACTGACCAATCTGACGAATTACCTATAGTATCCACCAGGCCGCAAGCGATCAACCTTTTCTCCTCATCTACACCTAAAAGGAGACTATTCTATGGGCTCAGCGACTCAGTCTGCCATCAGAAACGTGCACGGTCACATACGAGTAGTCCATGATGTTACTTCTCGCCAGAAAGTCGCAATCTGCCTTGATAGCTTCCTGAAAGACGACTTTAGAGTACGCACGCACGAGAGTCAGCGCTCTGCGCTGATCTGTGTGAAAAATTCATATCAGTGAATAGCAGAGTTTGCCTGGCTGTGCAATCACCTTCGATCCATTCGCCATCGAACAAAGTCTTCGAAGCAGAGTTCGATGCTTTGACTTTCCGCCCTTGAATGCCTTTCAAATCGAACGCTTTGGTGACTTTCCGATCGTAGAAGAGATTTTCCATCACCAACAGGTCGGCTTTCGCCTGTGTTGCGCCGCTTTCTAAATTACGAATCTCGACTGTATAGAATCCCAAAAGCTTCGCAAGGATGGATGGCTTAGTCGCCGTACTGTCCATATACCGAAAGTAGGATGGTCCCAGCTCAATCAGGACCTGGCTGTAGACAGGCTCTTTCAATTACCGCTTCAACACTGAGGTAGTAATTTCTCACAGATCTGCTACGTTCCAGGCATTAACGAGGGTCTTGATGATGAACTGGTCATCAGCCGTCTTCCAAAACTCAGACTTGCTCTTTCCACCCTCCGCGGCCCAATCGGCGCTTCGAGCCAGGCTCCGAATGTATACGTCTTCTATGCCACATCGCCGACGGAGTGCATCGAATTGCGTCGCATAGTACACAGTACAACTGAACTTCAGTCGCTTACCAATCGTCCAGTCGTACTTGATATGCGGCCGATCGTCAATTGCAGGAGACTCCGTGAATAGCAGGCCATGGTGGGGGGATGCTGGCCGCGGGCGTTGAGACTCCCCAGGGGCAAGCATGTACCTCATTGCACTAGCCAACGTATTGGTGAACGAGTTAGTGATAGATGACGATGTAGCCGGAGGTATATGCGCATGCTCTTCTGACTTTGAGTGCTGTTGATTGGGCTGCTTCGAAGGAAGCGGCGGAGGCATATCGTTGCGGTAGGAGTTTACATCGGCGTCAGCGGTTGCACTGCTGTCGGTCGAGATGATGGAAGCAGTCTTGCCTCTTCGGATATTCGTCTCGACGAAGCCAGATGAAGAGGTAGGGGTTTTCGGGCCCGAATACTGCAATGAACTTGGGAGAGCCAAATTCGACTGTGCGCCTAGACTCTGCAGAATCTTGTCAGCAGAATCTGGTAGACTATTCAAGTGTCCGCCCGCAGCCTGCATCGATAGCTCCACAGCTGGCTTGACTCGAGCAGAAGGTGGTATAATCCCTCGGCCTTTCGCGCTTGTATTCGAACTGTCGGGTCTGCTGGTCGCAGAGATGGGCGAATCGGGGCTCGCTTTATGCCTAAGGGCCTCTCGGAACGAGATCATGGAGGACGAATCCTTCGGATGTTCCTTGCGACTGATTACTGCAGAGAATGCTTCCGGCTCTTGCCATACAGTGTCATCTCTGTCAGGATCAGGCTGGTCTGAATGTGAAGGTAGTAGCCGTCCAAAGGGAGATCCCGCACGGAAGAATGATGAACGAATCTCGTCAACGACAGGTGTTGATGGCCCTACCGGTGGCATCGTTGGTCGTTGTGCCGGGTTCGACATAGCGGCTAACTCCCTATTGTAATCCATTGAACTGGGAAAGATAAGTATTGACATGACAGCGCGAGCCTGTTGACGAACGTACCTGAGAGTAAATGCTATGATGCTCCCCCAATCGTCTTCCTGGACAATGACATTTCCTCCAGGTACTGCGTGGCAGCCACTTCGCCACCAGTCAGGCTCTGTGACGAGCGGAAATCCGGTACTCCGCAAGCTCTTGGACAAATATGACGAGTGTTTGACCTCCCACGCTGACAACCGTTTCGAAGCTCCACGGGCAGCGGCCTGGAAAGAGCGACGTACGTTGTTGAGAGCCACGGATGGCGTTCTAGACAGCTCTGCGTACAGGTTTTGCTCTTCCTTCTGGAATGCATGGCGCAGACTAGATAGCAGCTGAGCAGGGTCTTTGCCCAAAGAATTCGTCGAAGACCTGGCAGAGGTGGATGACAACGACATCCATGAACCGGATATAGTTTCTGACGCTGTTGAACTGATTGCAGGGAGAAAATGTGCCAGCTGACCGTCACTGATGGGCGCGATAGTGGGGGTGGAAGAAGGCAATCGGGACAGAGATGCCTTAGGCGTGATCACGCCCGACTCGTCAAGCGGATCGTAAGCGATATCTTCTGAAGGTAACCGCGGTAACGCTTTAGCACGTGTACTGCAGGTGTCGGCAATGAAGTTCTCCTCCTGAGAGTGCGATCAACATATGAGTCTATACGTCCCCGTGACCCTAAGCTCACCAACTTGTCAATGTGGTCGGACAACCCTTGCCACCATCGCATAATCTCCCGTCTCAGAGCGCGTCGATCGCCATCCAGAGAGGGCTTATCGTTATGTGTATTCGGAGTCGCGGATGAACCTTTCTTATCCGAGCTCTTGTCAAGCCCCCGGCGGCGCACGATCTGCAGACGGGGCACCCGCAGCTCAAAGATATCCTCAACCTTCGATAGTGAGAAGGTGACAGTGCGTGACTTGCATGCGAATCTGCGGTGTATGTTCAGACGCGTCCTGGGAAGAGGCGTATCTTCTTGAGGCCACGGGCGAGGAGGGATGGTCGTATGCTCACAAAGCGGCGGTGTGATCGCACACAGCACAGGAGAGTATATTAGGAGTTCCAAGTATTTCCCGAACGAATAGAGGCTGTCTCAACATCGGCGACATAAGTCAGTGCAAATCGGATGGAGACAGAGAATGTGCCAGACGGTGGATACTCACTATGTGCCGTCGGACATATGTTCCCTTCGCGTCTCTCGACCACACACCGCGCAACTTTCCCACATCAGAACAGCATCGTCTTCTGGTGAAGAATCTTTTGCGGAAGAGCTTAATAGGTTGACCGTTGCAACAATCCGCACACCTCCGTGTATCCACCGCAAATCGTGGTCGCCCTGCAAGAACTGACAGCCTGGCTGATTGCAAGGTTCCTCTGCAGTGGCGCACAATCTCGAGATCACTTCGCCTAGACTCTCGTCTGCTTCGGCACCTCGACGATAATATCGATACGTGACCCATGTCATCCGGTTGCCGCAGGCGGTGAGCCGCGGAGGGACCACCGCTGATGACGAAGATGCCGTACCCACCGGCGTCGGAGGCTGCGGCGTGATCAATGGCAGCGGAACGTGCGCGGAGTACAGCAGAGATATTCCCTGTTGTCGCACGAAGCCTGACATACCCACCATGCCCCTACCCAGCGATTCTTTGCATTCCCAGCCCAAGAGGCTTTTCAGTGCAGCTTTCTCGTCAGCAGTCAGACGTCGGTCCGGATCCTGACTTTCCTTCTCTGTGAGAGAAACCAGCACACTTGGGAGGGGCATGAGTAAGCCTGGGGATGTGGAGAGCAAGTCCTTATATGCATCTATGTGTTTCAGTGCTGCCAGAAGCGGGTGTTGCGTAGCGGCTTCATCGCTATTCCGTGGGCTGGTCGCGTCCGGGGATGTAGAAGACATGAAAGAGAACCGCCTCGGCCGCTGTTTGTTGGCTTCGATAGAGGGCTGCGAATAAGGCGGATGCACTAGAGGCAGCTCCAGTGAGCCTCGCCGTGCCAGCGTCGGCCCAATACTCGCCGCATGATGCAACAACGTCTCAGTCTTTTTGGAGAAGAAGGACCAGATACCGGAAGCGACGGTGCTTTCGCGCTTTGGCGGCTTCGATTCCAGAGATGGTCTTAAGACAAGCGGCGCGGACGCAAGAGCGGACTGTGCAGGCTTTGGGAACTTGATTTCCACATGTGAGTTGGATAGCAGGTGCTGTTCGAGGAGCAGTGCGAGGTAGAAATATAAGCATACTCGGAGGACTTTGGATATTGTTGCATGCTGGGCGGCAGAGGCAGTTCCCTTCAACCGAAACGTGCCTCCGACTATCAGCAAGCAGTCTTCGTTCGCTACCTTGTAGAGGCGGACTTCAATTGCCTCAGCATAAGCTCTTCGCGATGACTGAACTACTCACCATCCCATTCATCCAACCCATAAAGTATATTACGCACCTCCTCCTGTCCAACCTCCGGAAAGGCGAACGTGTTGGGTGTAAATACACACTCCAGCCATTGCTGCGTCAGAGTGGAGCCCACGTCGCTGGACGACGGCACGATGGGTTGAGCATACGGCTCCATCATGAGTAAGAGGTGCTTGATGGATGGCTTCGGCATTTGCTGCACTACATGAGTTGAGGACAACTCCCGGAGCTGCTGCAACAGGACGACAAGGCTCGGCGGTGTCTCGCGAGACGAACCGTGCTCAGATGCAGATTGTTTACTTTCCGGATCGTTGACCTTGCTCTCCGACGCCATCTTTGAAACCAACTTCGGCTTTGTCTTCTCATTCTCACCTTTCTTCTCTAGTCTTTGCTGCATTCTGCGCGCATTCCTCTCCACTTCTCGCCTCTTTCGGGCGTCCCTGGCTCGCCTGAATCCAGGCAACCACGCACCCTGCGAGATACTCGTACCGAGTTCACACAGGGCGCTTATCAGCGCGGTTGCCCATTGCTCCTGCTCCCGTACTATTCCCTCCTCTCGCAAGGTCTGCAAAACGAATCGCCGGAGATGCGCGCGAGAGTCGACAGTCAGCACGCTTAGCTGTTGTCGGTGCGGGGGAACATGCGGTAGCGGTTTTTCGCCATGGCTAGCCATAGAAGTGAACACAATAAGATGAGGCTACCATCAGCAGTCAACGCTGTTGTTTGTATAAGAGAGACGGCAAGCCTGGAGGACAGTGAACGAACGTTACACTGCAGACGCCACAATTTATGGCAGGAAATATGCACTATAGTCCTTTTAGGACCTCAGGCAAAAATGAAGTATCAATTTAAAGTTGTTTCAAAGCGAGCTCTTAATTGGAAATATGTGACACCAGTTGTCACAGAGGTGAATTTCCAAAGGCAAGACCAAACTAAATTTGTTAGCCATATTTCACCGTGAATGCTGGCGTCAGTGTCATGTATTCCATAGGGTCGCGCTCAAGCGTATGCAGCCATCAGGACGGTTCAAGCGGGCATTGAGCTAAACAAAACATCATGTCTCTTTGTTACAACGGAAGACGATCCGAAGTCATGTCTATAATACACAGCAACATTACATCTCGCCACATTCTATATGCCATGTCCAGATGTCGACGAGGACCGCCGTCAGTCAGTTTTTGAGACTCTGATGAGAGAACGGACGTACCTACTATTTTCACGGCCAGCTTCGGCCTATTGTTCGGGCCCGTGGGCACGTTCTCAATCTTTCTTAGTGTGAGCATTCCATCAATCACTCTGCCAAAGACGACATGCTTCCCGTCGAGGAAATCGCACTTGGCTGTTGTGATGAAGAACTACAGGTATAACACGAGCGTTGATGAGTGTATAGCCTTCCTATTGAACAGAGAGACATACTCACCTGGCAGCCATTCGTGTTCGGGCCTGAATTTGCCTGGTAAGGGAGTCATGAGTTTCGATCTACAGCGCAACCAATACACGATCGCACCATGGACAGAAGCCCAGGACCGGTGTGCTTTTCCTGGAAGTTCTCGTCCTGAAACGTTATGATCAACTTCTGGATGCTTCTGAATTAATGCTCCGTGAACGTACAGGGAACTTGTCACCGTAAATGGAGAACGACCCAGTGCCATCGCCCTTGATAAAGTCACCGCCTAGGATCAACAAATGACAATGAACGGTGCCCACAACATTCAGCCGAAAGATTGACGTACCTTGACACATGAAATTTGGGACACTACCCATCGCGTAAGAAGTTGGATCAGAACGCACGTACACGATAGCTGAACTGCTTCGACTTACACTCTAAGTCAATTGAACTTGTCAGAAAGTACTGGCTAGGTGATTCATCGGGCATAGACCTTCTCACCTGTGGAACGTCGCACCTTTGTAACCTTGTGGCCGAGAGTTTACTCTATAGACGAGATTAGCATATGATCACCTGCAAGCGCACCAGACGGACCTCTCAGGTGCAAGCAATAGGATATTCACCTGTACTCCCCAGTGCACAATTGCCTAAAGTTCTCTGCAGTCCTGACTTCCACGTCAAAAACAAACAGAGTTATTCTTCGCTACTCACTTCGGCACAATGTCGCTGAAAAGCTCCATCTTCAGACGACCCGCTGGGGTCTCTCCAATGTTTATATCCATGAACACGATTGGTCGGGTGGTCGACGACATTATTGCTGTGGGTCTGCAGGAGACAAACTCGAAATGAGAGAAAATTCTGCGGGGCAGGCACTGAGAGTCTGAGATAGAGGTCAGTCAATGAAATAGTCCCGATTGTGGCAATTTCGAGAATGGCAAATACGGACAAACAAAAGGACGTTAATATTACAATCGCCCTTCATTCCTGCCATCTGCTGCTGCTTAATTCGTGCCGAAAGATGTCCTACTTCCTCCCGCATCTCCCCTCCGGCTGGCACGTTGACGAGGCCATAAAGTCTGAGGAAGACCGTGTGGTTGTCATTCGATTCGGCCATGACTGGGACAGCCAATGTATGACGATGGACGAAACGCTATACTCGGTTGCGGAGAAGGTGCAGAATTTCGCTGTGATTTACCTCGTCGATATTACAGAGGTTCCAGATTTCAATAAGGTGCGTAGATTTGAGTTCTGGTAGCTTTGAAACGTCCACTAATCCTCGGCTTTCATCGCCACAGATGTACGAGTTGTATGATCCTTGCACCGTGATGTTCTTCTATCGGTATGTTCTATGCTCCAGTCCACCCAGACATAAATCTTATTCCCCAAAACTCAGCAACAAGCATATTATGATTGATCTTGGAACTGGTAACAACAACAAGATGTATGTCTGGTCATCCATGAATTCGATGCTCTTACTGATCTACGCTCTTACATCAGTAACTGGGCAATGGACAACAAGCAAGAGGTTAGTTCTCCTGTTTGAGTAATGAATCGGCCATATTGACAATCATCACACTTAGTTGATTGATATCATCGAGACTGTGTACCGTGGTGCGTCCAAAGGCCGCGGTCTTGTTGTCTCTCCCAAAGGTATATTCTTCCAGTCCTCACGAGTCGAATTGTAACTTATGCCGCTCCTTGCAGATTATTCCACTCGTTACAGATATTAGTTATGGACAGTCACCATCATACCTAAACTTTCGTCGTCCGCCTGTAATCACAGCATAGTCCGCCTGTATACCATCTGAAATAGAGAGCACCTCACGGTGGAATTTTGCGCAAGGCGAGTGGAGATATGCTATATGTTTCGCTATGCAAGCGCAACAGGTAATGCTTCCGATTTATTGCTGCTGCTCACTCACACCCGTAGAATCTCATCCATTCGGAAAATAGGGTACAATTTCCGCTCAGCTGAATCCTTCGGCCTCGCATGGCGAACGTACTGGAAGCAGTACATCCACGTCTCCTATCATGCAATGTGATCGCGCAGTTCCATTCGCATATTCTGCATATTCAAGTCGGTGCTGATGTTACAATATTGGTGAAATGAGAATAATGTAGATTCGTCCGATGCATGTCCATCAACTATACAACCGGTTCTTTGCTAGGTCCTTCCACCGAGAGATCAAACGCAAACTCCACCCCTCCGAGATGGAACCTGTGCGTATTCGACAAAAGTAAGTCAAGATATAAATGCAGATGATCTGTCACGTCCTTTAGCAAACGTGACAGCAACGACCTATTTTGGCACACTTACATTAAAGAGTGTGAAGCCACAGAAGACGCCCAGACTTGGCCAGTGGTTGGAGAAGAAGATGTTGCGACTCCGCAGGAACTCGTCTGTGGTACGAAACTGACAGTAATTGCATAGGCTGGTCGCATTTGGATTCGTGAGGTAGCCCCCGTTGAGTGAGATGTACGATCCGAGGTATTCCATGCATGACTGGCCAAATGGTGGATGGATTTTGACAAACTCCACAGTCGAGCAATGGATCTCCGTCCTACCGACGGCTGTTATTCGTCAGACTGGTAAACGAAGAACCTGGAAGAAAAGAGCCATACCTTGTCCCAGGAAACCTTCCACGAAGTATGTAGAAGGCGATATCCGATTCATCCACGTCCATTTGCCTAACTCTCGGAAGGGCTGGAGGACACCGTCGCTGACAAATGGCGGAATAATGAGATTTTATATTGTCTTTCTGGCGTAAACCACTCACAAGACAATAATAATTGCAAAGAGTGCATTGAAAATTAGGGCAGCTATCTCAGCATTAGGAGCCATCGCTGCCGTGGCCTGCAATAGCTATCAGTTGACTGTCAGCACAGGACAAGGCGCCGCACATACCTGTCCGAATGATGTATAGTAGACTGGGTAAATCACTCCAAATAATAAATAGGTGTATCCCGCGCGGTCGTTTGGGAAGCCCGCAGTCCAATACCAACACACTAAGAATAAGGAAGAACCCAAGACGTTCCACGGTATTTCCACTAGCAGCTGCGACGTTAGCAGTGCGGACCATTTATACATGCGGCTGTGGCGCTCGCGGATTTCGTAAATTTTGCGCATGTCAAGGAAGGGCACTTGCAGCTGCTCGACTAGCGGAGCTGCGAGGAATGTCGAGATGTAGATCGACTGCGCAGGCATCAGACAATCATATACTCAGCACATACAAAACACTCACAAATAGCTTGTTCTGAGTTCCCTGGATCGTGCTCTTGGTCTTAAAATATGTGAAGCCGATGACGAGAGCACAGCAGACGTTGACCGCCATCTTAGCAATGAGATAAGTAGGATCTCTCCATAGACTGCGGGCATCCCTTTGGAACAGAGTCTTCAACTGATACCACCACGACGTCGCGAATTGTGCCTCGGGAACAGCCTTGTTCGGTGCACGGTTATTCCCAGCCACGCGGAGAACCTCGAGCTCATGTTGAAGCTCGTCGGCCTCCTTAGACTTCTTCCATATAAAATTCCAGTCGATGCTAGATGTCACAGTCGCACCAGCGCCGACCACATCGAGGATGTATTCCGCACTTCACACAGATTGAGCCCACGCCGGAGAAGGAGGCAAGGGTACGTACGGGTTCTCGATGTCTTCACACTGTCGCGCGCCGTTGGTCTCGAAGTAGCCAATCACATTGGATGACTTCGGGCCTAGATCTCCAAAATAGACGGTTTGCCCTCCCTTGCGCAAAAGCAGTAGTTTGTCGAAAACCTAAAGTCGGTGATATGTTACCAATCAGAATTTCCGCGTGGTAAAGTTAGTATGTACCTCGAATAGTTCGGCAGATGGTTGATGTATTCTGCGAGTCGAAGCAGTACGTCAGATAAGCTCACTCGTAGCTTAAGATCGAGACATACGTGCACACGATCGACTGCCCGCTGTCGGCGAGTTTCCGCAGAAAGCTGACTATTGCCCACGCACTTTGCGAATCCAAACCCGAGGTAGGCTCGTCGAGGAAGATCAGCGATGGCTAACAGATCGATTGAGTCATGTAGCCTTTCACAACACATCGCTATAACTGACCTTTGCGACCAATTCCACGCCAACTGTTGTCCGCTTCCGTTGCTCACCGCCAAGGGTGCCAACGATTGCATCAGCATACGCCTCGAGACCACACATTTGCAAGCATTTGTCAACGCTAAGAAAACTTGGTTAGCAACGGAATCCATGGTTGATCCACGAAGCAGGCCATACGCACTAGGCCTCTTTCTCCGCTAGTGGCACCGACTGGGGCTGCCGTAACTTCGCAGAGAAGAGTAGAGCCTCACGGACGGTGGTGGATGCAACATGTGTGTCCATCTGCTGACAGTATCCACTGCCGAGGACAAAGCGAGAATTTAGCTTAATACCAAGACAGTGGAATAGCCTCTACTCACGTCTGGGCCTGGAAATTGGGTGGAAGCGCAAGTCCGTTCATGAAGCGCTCCCCAGAAACGATTCCCTCTCCCATGCGCTCCGCGAGAGCATTGAGCAGCGTTGTCTATAGGAATAGCTCAACCCTTTGAAATCTTATTCAAACAATAGAGTTGAGTCTCACCTTCCCGGCGCCCGACTCGCCCATCAGGGCCGTTAACTTTCCGGGAGCAACATATCCGGAGACATCGTCGAGAAGCTGCCGGTAAAGTCCTCCGGAGACTGGCACGGAATAGCAGAGGTGCTGCCATGAGAAGACGTTGCCCTTTATGGGGTTGAGTTCTGTATAGGCCCGTGTCTTCTCGGAGGCGTTTCCCACGTCTGAAGGAGGGATGAGAACGTCCTCCGATCTGACCTTCTCGATGTCATTCCCAGCCGCAGAGCGAGATGTGTCTTCGACCGTTGCGCCATACTTGTAGAGCACAGAGGATGTCTCCCCAACGGAACCTGTGTTCAGCTCGGTAAATAGGACGAGGCTGCCAATAAAGGCGAGGCAAAATGCGCAGAGTATGCCGAAGTTCTGTGGAAAACGTGTGAGAGTGTGTCGATCGGCGATCTGTAGGCGAGGCGACTCACAGGCCACAGATGACTGTAGGCGAATCCGTACGAATCCCTCACGTAAGCCATGCCGGAAACAGTGGCCTCACCCGGAGAGGACCCCACGATCGCACAACCTTGGTTCGACAAAGAAACACTTTCGTAACCTGGGCCAGATGGGATCAGGGTGTCGCAACTCGCATTCAGCGTGGAGAACTCGTTGACCACCAATGCTTCGAACCCGTATTTGAGCGGCTAGACAACTATCAGCACTGGAATTAAGGAAAATACGACGCTTAACCCGACGTACATTGATATAGGTGATCCAAGATAGCGCACGGATCATGGATGGCACAGGTATGGGATAGCCCGTGTAGAGGACCAGAAAAAGCATGGCCACGCCTGCAGCTGCAGTCGCCGCAGCCGGATCCGTGAACGCAGCAGTGATAGCGCGGAAGAATGCCTTCAGCGTGATTGTCATGACGCATACAAAGAGCATGAAAATGCTAGTAATGACCGGATCGATAGACAATTCATTGTGGACGTATCAAAACTCCACTCACAAGAACTGCTGTGCCGAGTCCTGTAAGCCCGCCAAGAAATAGAGAATGACAGAAAAGACCATCATCGTCATCAGCGTGATTGGGACGTCAACGAGTGTGAGGGCGAGGGCTTCGACAAAAGGGTGGTACATAGCCGCCTTGTATTGCCTCAGGATAATCGGCCGCTGTGCAAAGAGCGCTGGGATCTCAGCCATCGTAGACAGTCCGGACCATACGTAGGCGCTGCACAGAGGCTTGAATGTCGGTGAGCAGAATGCACCTGGCATTGCACTCACAAGAATATTACACTGGCGCGCGAGAAGAATGTACCAGTATTCGGCTTGAGGCGCAGGTAGATCGTTCCGACAATCATTGCGAGGATGATGAACGAACTGCGTATTCAATTGACATTCAGCACAAGCGCACAAATTGCAGAACGGATACCCACGCTAGCTCAATGATCAAAGCAGTCATAGCTCCTCGAAGAATCTGCACCCTCCGCGTCATGAGCGCGCGAACCTGCATCGGTATCGAGAGCAAGTAAGGGCCACCTGCACCCGTACGCTCTCCACGCTCAGTCCGCACACTCTCCATGTATGCCTGTGCGCGCTCGGGGTTCCCGACATACAGTCTGCGATACTTGTCCATGTCTTCCCTGTTCAGCTGCGAAGTCTCGGATGCCCTGAAATAGTCGGAAAACTCCCGCGCTGTTCGTGGCACGAGCGAAGAGCAGTCAGGGCGAATAATGCGGCCGTTCGGATCGGTGACTGCCCCATTTCGGAATGAGCAACTATATGAGCACGGCGGCCACCACACATACCGGCTACGAGGAAGTCAGCAGTCGTCTGCCTATTCGCGGGAGCATATCCCATATCGATGAAGTACTGCCGCGCGCGATTGGCGGGACCAAAATAAGCCATCTTGCCTTCGTATATCACACAGACCTTGTCAAACAGCTCGTAGAGCGGCTCGCCGACCTGGTAAATAGAAACAATGGTAGAAACCTGCGTGGCATCGGTGACAGTGCGGAGTGCGCGCACGAACTCCAGCGCAGTCGAAGAGCTGCGCATCGTGAGTTCCCTCGTTCGTATTGGAAGAAGAACACTCACTCAAGGCCACGCGTGGAGCTGTTCGAGGGATATGTATTTGTAAGTGGCCGAAAATGAAGGCTTGGCAGGGTTCAGGGAAATCAACGTACTTGTCCCAACACGTCAGGAGACTCCGCGTTGCGAGCGTTTCGCTGATCGAAACCCGCTTCTTCTCGCCACCGGAAACTCCTCGGATGGAGGCGTCGCCCACGAGTGTGTCTCGCACGTGTCGGAGGCCGAAGACAGACTTGAGGACGTCAGTCATCACCTTGACATGCTTTTCGCGAGTCATCGAGTCGAGCCGTGCGTGAGGCGTGCGTGTGAGCGACGCGAATGCGAGGGTCTGCTCGACTGTCAGAGTGGGGAAATGCAGGTCCTCTTCCGGGCAGTATTGCACGTCCCCGCGACAGTGCCTGTCGATGTCCTCTGGAAAGAGCGAGTCGTAGTGAACGTCACCGAGGACGGCATGATAGTCTGAGCGCTGATTTGCGAGAGTGCGTAGCAGTGTGCTGCATCCCGCACCAGGGCGCCCGAGAACGACTACGAATAGTTTAGCGATGCTGACGCACGGCTACGACAGTTGCGCAATGCACTCACGTAGCATCTCGCCTGGCGCCACAACACCCTCGAAGCCGCTCAGAATTTCCCGAGTAGCAGGACGTCGAATGTTTTGGATGGCTCCGAGCCAACTGAGCGGATTCAGAGTCGACCCTAATGTAGGTTGTCGTGCTGCCGAAGAACCAAGCCCAATAACACGAAGATTGTCAAACAGTACACCAAGCTCCCTGCGCTTGATGTCCACGCGATCCATCCTGGCCGAGGAGAGGTGAGTACTCGAGGGATAGAGGTGAGAAGTGCGGGGGCGACGTACTTGCTCACCACGTCACGCAGGCTGGTCTCGAAGTCGAAGCCGTCGTCTCCCGGGGCAAGCGTCGACTCGCACGCCGTCGCATAGGTAGCATCCATGCGGCTACGATGACTATGAGGACCAGCGACGTGCTCTGATGCGATGAATTCGGGCGATGGAAGCAACTCAGTTGCATCAACGTCAGCGTCCTGCCTTCGCAGGATCGAACGAAGCGCCATTAGAAGGGGAATAGAGTGAGGGTGAGTCGCAACTGGGAGATTATGATCCTCCGTCCGCCAGGGAGTGTTTGAATCTACCGCCAGCGCCCTCTGAGGCCGCGCATGGCTGTGCACGTCGCGCGGTGCAGTCATATCAGAGGTGCTAAGCGTGATGCGTGATGGATGGCTGATACGACTACGCGAGGTTGCTATGTAGGCAGGGCGGGTGTGTATTTCACGACGGCGGAGAGGAAAGAGGGAAGGCCATAATTATCCGCCTGGGCACGACGCAAGAAGAGTGGGCCGGGACGCTTGGGAATATTTGGGCGTGCGTCTGCCAACATGGAACGGAATTCTGGCGAGATTGCTGTTGGGCGATGCCTCTCGGGGAACGTGTCAACATGCGGTGCTATACTTAGCAACTTCCGGCCTTGTTCGGTATCCACACGGCTCCACGTGACGGGCAATCAATGCCTCGGTCAGATCGCTTAGCGCCTTGGCGCGGGGTTTCCCATGATGTTCGGAAGGAATAATTCGACTCACGACTTTGATCTTTTTTTTTGGCTCACTACATCGCGCGTCTCCAAAAGATCCGGAGGCTATGCGTTACGCGAAGTTGTTCCCAGACCGACGCCCAGACAGTCAGCGGAGCTAATCATATAGCACACAGCTCAATGAGCAACGTACGCGGCGCAAATTAAGTAGACGCAAACTCTCGTTCCTGTGGCACCGGGGTCTTCGTTAAGCGCCATACTGCTCGGAAGAAACAACTCACGACTCACAACTTTCACTTTCACTTTTCTGGCTCGGCACCTGCAGTTTTGATTGTGCAAAAATTCATTATGCAGTGCGATATAGCACAGTACAGCTGCTGATAGCAATGATACCACAACCTTAAGTTGAAGACATCACTACATCGCGGACCACATGTTCGTTTCCGAACGATCACGAGGCTACGCGGTATGCAAAGTCGTTTAGCAGACCGACAGCCAGGCATGTCAGTGCAGCTAATCACGCAGCATGTAGCTCAGGGAGCTCCGTATGCAGCGCAGGCGAGGCAGAACTTTCCCATGCGGCTAACAGGTACCTCCCAGTGACGGCGTGCGACCCTCTCCTGAGGCAGTCATATCACTCAGAATGCAGCACGAGACGCCCAAGGTTCTTCACTTACTAATAAGTTTGGCGTGGTCTCGGAATGAACGCTTTGTTGAATGTTATTGGACGGCCTCCATTTCTGCCTAGACCTGTTGACCGTCCAGGCTTAGGATGTTTAGTCTGGAGTTCTGGCAAGCTATCGTTCAACACGGATGAGTTGAATCGCCGTACTTATCTGTCAGAAACCCATTGCAAATTGTACGACTTACATAAGTTTCCTGATGGATCGTTCTAGATACCGGGACTCGCTTACCGCGAAAACGGCCTGCGCATAGTAGCCGCGTTAGTCTGTTTCTTGGGGTGGACATATGCGCCTCAATCAGCTTGCAGGTGCTTACGAAGTCGGAATTGGAGTACTTACTTTGTCTCCTTATTTATCGCCCGCGAGGTTTAAAACGTACGATAGACAGGATTAACGAGTTTTCGAGAAAACAAATGTGAAAGTCGGCAACATGTGACATCAAACACCCGATTCCGGAAGCGCGTTGAGTATAGTTTCAGAAGGCGGACTGCAAGGCGGCAGCTAGGCGTCCTTGATGGCGGTAAGTACCGTAGAAGAAAGGTACAGTGATTGCTTCAAGGGGAAAAGGGAGAAGGGATCCCTACAGAATAAAAGAAGTAGTCGATGGTCAGCATAATTCGCGCATATAGCCGTTGTAATAACGCTTCTAGACATCGGGATTCAATGCGTTTGCATGACACAACACCGTACTTCACGCACATATAACTCAATGCAGCACGGGGACGTTCCACGTCGTTTATGCGAGGTCATGAGACCATGACTAGTACCTATGTGATAATGAAAGAGACGCACCGAAATCGAAGGCGTCTAGCGTCAACATGAAACGGCATAGCATATCCGACATTAGCGAGAGATACTAGGCGGAGAGAAAGCGATCTCGTACGATAGGCGCGTTGCAACCGAATGAGACCATCAGCGATAGGGCTCAGATAGAGTAATGCTAGGCAGGCGCAGTCAGTCTTCGGAATGCATTTCGATTGAGGTGATACACACCACTTCTTCAGCTTCAAGCTTCAAGTTCTCGATGGAAAACCGTACGACGGGAGACTCGTGGAGCAATATATAGGAACAATCGCTAGCTTTGAGCTGCAAGAACTGTTGAAATGAACCACATCGCGCATTTGTCACGTGTAATTGTCCGGTTTGAACCGTCAGATATGGCTCAGGGGACGCGATCACCTTGTGTCATGTCTTTTTGAAGCAACTGACTTACTATATCGGGCAGTGCGTTGCTATATCGGGCGCCTCTGCCGCTCGATTGTCACTTGGCCCTCTTTCACTGCGGCTTTCGCTGTGTATGACGTTCATAACGTCCATGTTTTGTTGATAACCGTGCTTCTATATTATTTTGCAGGCATATATATATATAACGTGCCTTAAGTCAACTACCTTCACAACGGAGCCCTTAATTAAAGCGCTTCGCGCATCTTGACTTCGGGCGCTAACGTTCCAAGGTTAATTTCGCCCTCTTATGGTTTCCAGCAGCTGCCACTGCACCTATATATGAGGCCGACCCACTACCAAAGTATTTTTTGCACCCGGCTCCAGTTGATCATCCATGGTTCCCTCTTCTTTAGTGGCAAATCGGCTAGGCACGATTGTGACACGTAACATACGCCCTTCCGTTACCGTGACATGTCGAGACTTCAAAGCTTCAAAGCTTCAACAGCTATAACTTACGATGGTTTGCGGGAGAGCACCCTACTGTAAAAGCAATCGCACTGGTGTGATGAATTGCCACAGGCAAACAGAGACGGACGCGAGTGGCTCAAGGTTGACGCATCTCATTATCAAAGTAAGCAAATTTATTCAATTTCCCCTTCACATCCTCTTCGCACTGAGTGTAAACATATACGAGCTGACAGAAAACGCGCCAGATTCTGATAAACATCATCGGTCTTTGCGATGATTCTGCGCTGCTTCAAGAGACCGGCATGGTGCCGCCTATGGCCGCGACGGGATAACGCGATATGTCACGATCACGGGACCGGGGTTGTCACAAAACGTTCTCAAGCTGCGGCGCTTGAACGTCGAGACATTTGGAACAAGACCGCGACATGTCGTCTTTTTATTCTCCTCCCTCATCGCCAGCATCTTCGTTTGCGATGGACACAACTCGTGGCACAACACCACCCACAACCCCTCCACTAGACTGCTCAGAAACGGACGGGGTACGCGACGTGATACGCGCGAGTCAGCCGCGACGCGTTTGCTTAATCTCAGTGGCGCAATGTATGCTGATTCTTGAAATATTAAGAATGCACAAACAATGGAAGAGGGAGGAGAAACAGAAGAAGAGGTGAGAATGGAGCATGCATAGCTTGCTCGGAGTATGCATGGAGTTTGCGTCTGAAGCACCAGCAGGACACAGCCGCACGTCTACGTATGCTATCAAGTCTCCTCGAGAAATCGGCCGTGTACGTGTCCATCCTGAAGCAGCAGATGGACAAGGTCAAAGTGAAGCACGGCCGACGTCTCTCGGCGAAGGCCGATGCAGCGAATCAGGAAGCGACCAACGCGGCAAACGAACGCCCTACCTCAGGAACGGCAAAGAAACGAACACGCGGCGATGCGGCGACCGAGGTGGAGCAGGCCACGAAACGCGTGAAGGTCGAAGCCGAGGAGAGCGCGGACGCGAACGTGGCGGCGAAGGACGAGCGGGCGTTCGAGCAGCCCGCCCTGATCACGGGCGCTACGCTGAGGGACTATCAGCTTGAAGGCGTCGCGTGGATGGCGGGTCTCTATCAGAGTGGCATCTCGGGTATTCTCGGTACGCTCATTGTTATATGCTGCAATGGCCCCCTTCTGATCCGACGTAGCGGACGAGATGGGGCTCGGTAAGGTACGCGTCCATCAGTTAAGGCCACCGGCGGTACATTGAAGTACGGCTGCTCCCCGTAGACATTGCAGACCATCGCCTTCCATGCATTCCTACGCGAGCGCTCGACAGCGCCGTTTCTCGTAGTCTGCCCGCTTAGCGTTCTCAGCAATTGGGTAGAAGAATTTAGGCGTTTCGCCCCTACGGTACGTCAAACCACCGCCCACTCCTCTGTGTTGCATATATCAACAGGCTCCACCGCGAACAGATTCCTGTGGTCATGTACCATGGTAGTCCAGAGGAGCGCGCTGAGCTGAGGCGCACCGCCATGGTATTCTCGGAGGAGGACATGAAGTATCAGAACAAGATGTTCGGCAGGGCCCAGGCGAGCCCTCCACCCGCTGCCGCTCCGGACCCGAAGGCTGCGAGTACCAAGTCAAGGGCAAGCTCGCGTGGGAGCGCGGGGAGCAAGAAGAAAAGCCAGAAACAGAGCGTTAAAGCAAGGACGAAGAAGGGTCAAGCCCCGTGGAAGAGTAGCCGGCTGTCTGGCAGACATCAGGAGGTCACCGAGTTCGACTCTGAGGACGAGGACGAGGAAGACTTGAGCACCGCTCGGAAAACCCGTAGGAGAACACCGCAGGTGAAGGCAGAGCAGGACGAGGAGAATACTCCTTCCGAGCCGACTGAGCATAAGCTGCCTCCACATCAGCGCACGAACTTCCCGGTGGTAGTTACGACATATGAGATGATTATTAGGGACCGCGCACAGCTCGCGGAGTACTACTGGGGCTTCATCGTTGTCGATGAGGGCCACAGACTCAAGAATATGGACTGCAAGCTGATGCATGAGATCAAGAAGCTCAATGCTGCGGCAAGGATGGTGTTAACGGGCACACCGTTGCATGTGAGTCCATGTCTATGTCCTGATGTACCATTTTGCTAAATTGGCTTATATAGAACAACCTCAGCGAACTATGGGCTCTCCTGAACTTCGTTCTGCCAGACTTGTTTTCAGATTTGGAAGCATTTGAGGAATGGTGAGACAATATAATATTTGTAGCATATTTCAATCTCACATTTTGCCTCGTTAGGTTTAACCTCCCGATGTTGCAGGCCACGCTATCGGCTTCCCGCTCTTCACAACTCATCCACTCCCTTCATGCTCTCCTCCGACCGTTCCTTTTGCGGCGGCTCAAAGCGGATGTCGAAGCGAACCTCCCGCCAAAAAAGGAGTACGTACTCTATGCCCCGCTGAGTGAGCGCCAGCGCGAAGTGTACGATGCCATTGTCAAGGGAGGCCTACGTGCGCTTCTGGTTAAAGAAGCCAGCCAACGCAAGGAGCGCAAAGGCAAGGTGGCTTCGCTCAAGACGCCCGAAACTGATGAGGAAGAGGAAGTCCCCCTTTACATTCAGAACAAAAAGAAGAGACATCCGCAGACTCGGCAGAGTAAACGGAGGAATTACGACGTTGACGGAGATGACGACGAGTACTTCACGAAGCTTCAATCCGGAGCGCTCGATGGAACCAAGCAGAAAGAACGAGTGCAGAGTGCAGACGAGATTGGGCGAGAGTGGCAGCGTAAAATTACCCGTATGTCCAATTACTCGCACTAAATTGATTGGTATGACTAACAACTATGAATGCAGTTAAAAAGGTGAACAATATGAAGCTCCAGAACACTGTCATGCAGCTGCGCAAAATTTGCTCGCATCCTTTCCTGTTCGACTGGCCGATAGATCCCGATACGCAGCAGCCGGCGCTGAACGAGGAGCTCGTGAGCACCAGTGGCAAGATGATGATCCTTGAGCGCCTGCTTGAAGAATTATTCAGGCGGAAGCACAAGGTGTTGCTATTTAGTCAGTTCACAACGATGTTGGACATTATTGAGGTTCGTGCCGTTTTCGTTACAGTTGTAGTCACATATATTCAACTCTGTTTGATGCAGGATTGGGCCATCGAGTTCAAGGGCTGGAATATCTGTCGAATTGATGGGTCCACGTCAATGGTCGAGCGCCGTGACGAAGTTAGCAGATTCCAGAATGGCGGCGATGCACCGGACGCCCCGCAATTGTTCTTGTTGAGTACGCGTGCAGGAGGACTCGGCCTGAATCTCGTCGCAGCGGACACGGTCATTTTCTATGATCAGGATTGGGTAGGTGGCGTACTGCACAAGGGCGTTACCATTAGCTCATCCTTTGTGACAGAATCCCCAGATGGATTTACAAGCCCAAGACCGTGCACATCGTATAGGGCAGACCAAGCCTGTCCTCATCTTCCGTCTTGTCAGCGCGCATACAATCGAGACGAAGATAATGCAGCGCGCCACTGAGAAGCGCAAGCTGGAGGCATTGGTCATTGCAAAAGGTGCGATCTCCGGATCACCAGTCATTCCGCCCAAACACTGACTTGAATGCTCGCAGGTCAGTTCAAGACGCCATCCCTGGCAGCCAGCCGGAGTAGACCTGAGAGGATAGCGGAGATGGCTGCTGCGCTGCTGGAGCTCGAGGGCGAGCAGATCCGCGTTGTACCCGACAACGCGGCGGGCAAGGCGAGCGTCATCAGCGATCGGGAACTAGACATGCTACTTGATCGCAGTCCGGAGGTTTTCTCGGGCCGTGGCAAAGGCTGGACGTCCGCAGAGAAGGTGGATGCTGATGGTGCGAAGGCCGGAACTGCTGAGAAGGCGGCGTTCGCTGTGTACGAGGCTCCTGTTGATGAGACTGGTGATGTCCTCGCTGGTATGCTCGATGGCCGGGAGGAGGAAGAGGAGGAAGGAGAGGAGTGATTGCATTTATCACATTCGTCTTGTTTCAATTGACAACCGGACGTTTCATAGAATTGTGTAGCGCGCAGCAGCTATCTACACGTGGACATGCCAGGAGGTCGTGTTTACCGCCTGAGTGATATGCGGAAGTTGTTAACGCAGAGATGTGACAAGATGTTAACGTTTTAACCTTGAATAGACGGTGCTTATCAGCAGAGTGAAGTGATGTCATACCACTATGTATTGTTTTAGGTTTGTAACTTAAGGTTTGCGCGCTTAGAGCCGCCCGGTCGCTGTCTTCCACATATATACCTCTTCCACCAGCTGCCAGTGTACACGCCTGTGTCCTTGTACAGTTGTCCTGCCCGTCAAGCTCTCTCTGACAAGGCCGTGCAACTCCGGGATACCTTCCGCCATGATTCTGAAACCCATCAAGAACGACTCAGATCTGGACGACTCTCCACCACCGTTGGCTTACGAGTCTTATATACTTGCGCTGCCATTGGAACTCATCAATGAGATTCTGAAGCTGCTCGATTTCCAAGAGGTTATACGCTGCACCGAAGTGAGCTTAGCTGTCCAGCTCTCACCCGTCTTCAGCTCATAGCTCCGGGAATAGGTATGCAAGCAACTCAATGGCATCATCCGGAGCTCTCTCGAACTGCAGTACAAGATAGAGCTTGGTGCCGACGGACTCGTCGACGGGCTTCTGGGGCCCATGTCCACCGCGGAGCGCCTCGAGCTCCTATTCGATCGGCGGCGGCGGTGGCGCTCGCTCGACTGGACAGCGCGGACGTCCGTCTCAATCCCTGGCCCTTGCCAGGCGTACGAGCTCGTGGCGGGTGTGTTCGCCAAGTCTATGGCAGGCGCACAGGGCCCTGGCTCGCACAACCTCATATCGACGTGGCTCCCGTCACGCACGCAACCTGCAAAGCGCATCGTTCGGGAGGAGCTTGGCGTGTCCACGCGCGACTTTGCCATTGACCCTTCGCAGGATCTAATCGCTCTGGTTGATGCGGATGATAAGTGTGTGTTCACTGCTTAGCTCTCTGGCGGTGGCGCTAAAGGTGGTGTATGCAGCCAGGATAGCAATCCGCGAATCAGGGTGTTCTTGAGGACGGTGAGCACGAACGAGAAACATCCCCGTGCGGCATCCGCGGAGCTGCATGCGCCGATCCCGTTCGAGCTCGGTAGCTCATTCATCCAGATTGTCGACGACGTCGTCGGCATGTTCTTCTGGGTGAATGGCCCGGGGCTCATCATTTGGAACTGGCAGACGTCAGAGATTGTTATCGTACGTCCCTCATTATATTGATCCTTGCCCTCTGTGCTTAAAATGCTCTCGAAGAACTGTGTCGGCTACCAACTACCGCGCGGCACATGGGACTTCTCGTTCGTCTCCAACCGTGCGTTCATACTCACGGCGGCGATGGGCAGTGGCACAGTGGAGCTATTCGCCTTCGAGGGGCACCCGCCGGCATTCGAGCACGAGCTCCACTCACCGCCGCACATCGCGACCCTGCAGCTGCCGGAACTCCAGAAGGGACTCGAGTTGCACAATTTCTCGACGCATTCAGGCCCGTTCGTGCATGCACGGACTCCTGGAAAGCCTTTCGAGACGGCGCGCGATTCGGGTGTGCATCTCATGTCGCTCAGCTACGGCGACCGCGGCCCGCGATTCCACATGATCATGCACAACCGTCTGCTGCTCTCGTACCTCCCGCGAGAGGGAGGGAGGCCCGAGCCGAAGATCGTGCAATGGAAAACATGGGGCCCGAAGTACTCGCGCTTTCTGGAACATACCATCAGCTTCCAGTGGCTCCGGTAAGTAGTCAGATGTTTTTGGATCCGCTCTCATTGTCTGATCCGTGAGCCTTGCGGCGATTGTAGATACGTGCATGGCCAGCGAGTGATCCTTCCGCCGGTCATGCGCACCTCGCAGAACCCGCAGAGCACCATGTATGTGCTCGATTTTAACGTGCATCCGAAGCGCACGAATGATCCGGTGCCTCTTCCAAAGCCGGACAGCAGATGCTCCTATAAGGTGTTCACCGAGCCCTCTACTGTTCAGCGCAGGGAGACTTTCAAGGACGATGTGGTGACGTATCTGCCGTATGCGGTGATGTCCCGGCTGGGGACGTTCCAGTATTCTGGATTCATGATTGATGATGAGCGGATCATTGGGATGAAGGTGTGTTCGTCGCCGCATCGTACGTGCAGTAATCTGATTGCCTTGGTTTAGTCGATGGCATTTGCAGAGAGTAATATGAGCGACATCGACGTATACACTTTCTGAAATTTGATATTGTAATATATTCGCCTTCTCACTACTTTGTCGTGCACTTCTGATTCTGAGGATAAGGTTGTTGCGAGAGGTTCCGTTCCGATGGAGCTGCACGGGGAAATGTATGTGAGTCGGAACCTTCTGCGTGCGAATATGGGCGTCCGTACGGCATGAAGTCTTTTTCCTGTATGTTCCGTGAAACTGACTCTCGGATCTTCCTCTGTGCGCACGGACCAGCGCGGTTACCGCCTGAGCCTAGCATAAATCTCTCTGTAGCTGATTATGCCTGCTGCAACTGCGAACCTTGCACTAGGGTTAGGTGCGATGACACAATTGAGGGCTGACGGGCTGGTTGGGGCAACCTCCAACAATTCCAGCGTTCTCCAAACCATCCATCTCTTCAACTGTGACAATTCTTTCTCGACTTGAAACGTCTATGTCAGCGGAAGTCGGATCGCCACCAGGGATTCTCGTCTCTATCCCAGATACAACCGCCATTCACGTTCTGGGCGAATCGACCGTTGAACTCGGAAAGGGCGACCTAACGCTGATACTCACTGAATCATCGACAGTCTCTGGCCCTTCATCCCCCTCGGAGGTGAAGAATCACACACCCGTGCTAGCGTTGGCCGTGGGGAAAGCTGCATTCCCGCTGTACAAGACCACCATTTTCGGGACGCTCGCCGATGACGTGCGGGTGTATGTGTTCACGCCTGAGATCGGAGGTGAACGCGGAGGGTACGTCTAACTATGCAAGTCGCGGCGTCCGCTCACGGTGCGACAGTTATGTGAAGATTGTACTTCCGGAAGGTGTCAAAGAGGCTGGCTCGGCCTTCGAGAGATTGCAGACAGGATTTGAAAAGATCCTCGTGCATCATGGGCTGTTGAAGGAAGGCATCGAAGCTGTTGCAGACGAGCTTGGGAAAAGCGCGCGAGAAGACTCTGCACACGCCGCTCAGCAAATACGAGATTCCACCACAGTGTAAGTTCAGAACATGCTCCACTTCGGCGACAACTCAGAGCGCGCTTTGTGGCACCAGGTACCTTGCAGATAATCCTCCTACAGACTCGCCGATTTCCCTCCCTGGCCCTGTCCGCACTGCAAGCGCGACTAGCGCAGACACGACAAGCTCAATCGCATCCGCCGCCAGTCGCATGTCAGCGAGCATCAGCCACGCCGCGGAGAATGCTGGTATGTGGATGGCGGAACACCTCGTGCCAAACAGCCCACCCGCGACGCACCAGACGCTCTCGTCGCTGTCGAACGCGTACGACACCGCCGCAGATGGGTACGGCGCGGGCGCCGGGGAGGTGAAGGACGCGCTGGCGGACGCGGCGAGCGCGCGGATCGAGAATGCGTATGGGCGGGAAGCGAGGGAGGTGGCGGGCGATGTGGGGGCGAGTGCGCAGAATGTGGGTGGTGCGTTGGGGGAAGTTGTGGTGGGAACGAGTGGGGCTACGATTGCGACGGCGGGGATTAAGGGCGCGGCGGGTGCTAAGGCGGATCAGCGGGAGTCGGAGGATTGGTTGGACGATAGGGAGGATGATGCATGGAACGATGTATCAATCTGATGGAATTATATATGATTATTGTCGACTGAGGGCTCTCGTCCAGTGAGTCGATGAAGTCGCCCCGGACGTTGAGATCGTTTTTGGCGAGATATGGTTGGGTGATCGCAAGCCACCGATTCGACGAGGAGTCCAATCCCGCACACATGTCGCACATCAAGAACGGCATTCCGTAACCAAGAGGGGGACACAATCCGTAGCAAATTTGCGATGTTAGCGGGCGATAAGGATGCTCTTCTCTCGCCGTCCATTAATATTGATGGGAACGAGAGTAGAACTACGAGAAAGCACTAAGATCGTACCGAGGCCATAGCTCTCAGGCTAGAGTCCCTTCACAAGTTAGACCTCAGGCGTACATATCCAATGATTATGTTCGATTTACTCACCTCCCTGCTGGATACTGTACGCACAGCGATGCTCATGCAGGTAATCATATTCTTTCTGTGACACGAACGGGGTTTCTGACCCTATGTCTAAAATCCGATTTTTGCGCGCCCCTTGCTCTGACCCTATGTTTTTTGCCCACCCGAAGCTGTGTCTTAGACCGGGCGTGCTCCTAATGATTCCTGCAACCTACCCTGGGCCCCCTCCTGCCGAAGCGTTAGCGCAGACATTTATCTCTGATCAGCTCGAGAAGATAGAAAAATCCCCTGCTTCGACAAAAAACAGGAATCTACTCAAGGCCGCCATCGTAGATGCACCATTCCTGCTCGGCAAGCTGAATAATGCATGGGCAGTAAATGATGCTAAACCAGAACAATTGGATGACCTTGCGGAGTACTACTACACCAGCATACTTGTTCCTGGTACGTTGCTCCTAGTTTCCATTCAGTGAGGGTACCGCTCTGAGTGCGACGTGCGGTAGTTCGGGCCGCCGGAGGGAAAACACCAGCTCCCAGAAGTCATCCCTTTCGCAACCAATTTGATTTGACTGTGACGCCTGAGCTTGAGAAGCGTCTCAGTACCCTGAAGGCCAAGGTGCGTTTGCTTATATCTGTACGCAGGGTGTGGTTTGACCTAGCTCATGCAGGCTCTGGTGCGCGATGGGTACAAATGCGTCGTAACCGGAAAAGTGGACCAGGACCATGTGGATAAAGTCACGACCTGGACGGGTTTCGACCTCGACATAACGGATGCAGCGCATATCATGCCCTTCAGTCTGAACGATTTTGAGGAGACGGAAGTTCCCATGGTGCGCTTCAATGGCTTCATATGCGTTCCGAGAGGCTGTAATGCTAAGTCAATGTGATAGATGGCCGACGAGACTGCAATATGGACAGCCTTACAAGCATTTTCTGGTCGTTCACTGGATGGTCTCAAGGGCGATGGCATCAACTCTCTGCAGAACGTGCTTACTCTTTCGGCCTCCGTGCATCGGTTGTTTTGCCAGCTTGTACTGGCCTTCGAACCCATGGAGGTGAGTCTCCCTCTCATCTCTGACCGAGTATGTTATGACTAGGCGGCCACAAAAAAGGCAGAACCCAACGTTTACCGCATTCTCACTTGGGGTAAAGCGAAGAATCGTCGCGATCTGTCCGAGATCGTCACTTTAAGTGACCATTCTAATTCTGGGAAGGCGTTGGTAAGCTTTTCTATTTCGCAAATTGCATTTTCATCCCTCATACCCATGGTGTTGTTTCATTCAGCCCAACCCGGTCTACTTGTCACTTCATGCTGCATTATGTAAGGTTCTTCACGCGTCTGGCCGCGCAGAAGAGTTGGACAGAATTCTCGCGGATCTGAACGAGGGTGAGACGCCTGTACTCTCGCATGATGGTAGCACGGCAGATCTACTCGAGATAGCTCTGCTGAGGGCTGTTGCAGTAGGTTGAGGTGTTGAACGCAAGTTGGTTCGTCATGCTCTTCGATACGTTTTGCGCAAAGTTATGCCGCTCATCGTGCAAATTGCAGACCTGCAGTGCGCGTCCATTGATAACTACCCACCCCGCTGCTTTCCTCTTCCGAGTCTTCGCTCAGGTTCAATCTGCAGTGTCCCACGCATCGGACCCGTTTCCGGAGACAAGACTGTCGATGATCGGAGGAATGCGAGTCCTTGACAAGTAGCACTGGAAAGCGCATTCTTCATCTCCGGGAGTGTTTCTGATCCCCCGCGGGTCGCAATAGGTCGAGGTTGTGGTTATATTAGTATATATTCAAAGCTAATTCCGGTGTAGAAGAACGATTATTACTGCACCCCATGCGACATTGTCCCTTACTAGGGAGTACATATAATGCCCATACTTGCTGTCTATATGAACCAACGTCCGGCCCTGCAGCCTTCGCCAGACCGAACTGTATTTCGGTGTCGGACGTCGGCATGGCGGTGACGGGAGTGAGTGAGACTGGAGCAGACATCCTGTACGGTAATGTCAGTCGCGGCGGTCTCGGAATTATGTCATTCAGGTCCGATGTAGTAAATGCGGTGGAAGGGCCATCTAGCGTGTTGCCAGTCATGGCGGTACCTACTCTGGAGCTCGTCAAGGTCCTCATCCTTCCCGCGTCGCTCTCGCCATATCCGGAACCTATCCCAAAAGAGTCCTGCATGCCGTTTCCGCCCGTCTTCTCCATCTCCTCTTCCTCCTCCTCGACGAGAATGGTGGGACCAAGAGCAGATCGAGCACTGTGACCATACGGCGTACTTGTCCCACTTCCCGACGTACTCGCTGCTTTGCATTGATGTTGGTCCTCAGGGGAGCACCGTGACTACTGGTAGCAACCCAGCTTTTCGCAAGCAGCCTTCGCACTTCCTCCTCAAACCCGCCACGTAGTGTTTCCGCAGATGTGCCCTTCAGCTGCAAAATTACTCATGATGACTGTCAGCCTGGGCATGGCCCTCGCGCATCCGGCACTCGTACAGATCCTTATGAATACAAAGGCGCCGTACAACATCTCGGCTCCGACGGTGTCGCTCGCGCTCTTGGCGCTCTCGCCATCCGCGGTCGCGGCCATGAACGCGAAGGTGAGTGCGCTCGTGAGCAACGTGCGGTGCTATTGCATGAACTGGAAACACTTCGGCCGCTCGGGCTCGGTGCTACGATCGGTTGGGAACAGCGCGAATTTTGTGATGGTGCCGGTGCTAGAGAAGAGCGTGAGGCTGCCGGGCAATGCGCGCGCAATAGGATATACAAGACTGCGGCGGAGGAAGAGGGCGTTGTCGTGCGGTACCGTGGAGGTGAGCTGGGATGTGAGGGCTGCTTGCGGATCACAGTAGGCAGTGCAGAAGAAAATGTTATCGCGCTGCGGAAGCTGGAGGAGTTGTTGAAGAAGCTGTAAGGCACATTCTGGTCGCAGCACGGTGCTGCCGCGTAGAACAGAACTTGTGTAGACTTGGTTCAACATTTGTCCCGTTGAATTGTGCCTGTGGACCGCCGAAAAACTCGCGATTCCAAATAACAAAAGTTCCAAATAACAGAGGTATTTGGCTATTCTACTTACTTCCTCGCGGCGGTGCATGGTGAGTAATTGGCATTTTTCCCGGTTTCTGTAATGATTTTGACGTTCATTTACAGTGCTTCTCGCTGTAAACGTGTTCTTACTCGACGTGCTCTGCTTCTTTACACCTCAGCCGCCGGTTGCGTGTTCGGTTGACGGCTCAGAGTGTGCGCGGTCGCATCGCTTCATTGGTTACTGCTCTCCTCCAGTTGGAGGTGCTATTCGCAGGTCGTGCGTATGCCCAACAAATGATATACATGGATTTTTGATTCGGCACATAAGGAAAACTCAAATCGGCTTGTGGCTCGAGCCGCTCGACAACCTTCTTTTTGACTTGTTCTCACTGGATTGGGCCTGTACAAGCCAATAAGCACACAATAAGAAGCTTATAACCCGGAGGAAAGTTCAAAACAAGAAGGTCCCGAGACTTCCTCTGACTTACTGTCTTTTTTGGAGATGGCAAGCGGATAAAAGCATCGTAAGCCGGATTTGAGTTTTCCTGATGGCCACCGATCGCCTGTTCTGCTGTCTCGACGTTCGTCAGTAACATTCAAGGGTATGCAGCCTGTGAGTTCACTCGATTCCACGTGGTTCTCGAATGTTTCATCGGTCGCGCTTGATGTGCTTTTATCGTTCCTTGCTGGCGTACTTCCGTTTCGCAGTTTGACCGATCTCGCTCGATTGCGTCATATAGGAAGAGACCTTCGAAAATGTACGGTCACCGGTTTGGAGTCTCTGTTGCTCGAGCATCGATTAAGTCTGGCGTGCGTGTCTGCCGTTGCAGTGTTCGACTTTGTAGGCGATGGTTTGCACGAAGTGAGCTCGGATGGGACCTGCACGATGGACCGGTGTCTGTTGGATCGCTTTCCTGTTTTGAGGGGACAGCTTCGACGGACAGAATAATATAAATGGCTTTTGCGCATGCCCTAAGACGTGCCTCCTTGTTATTTGGAACCGGTGCCCGGCGCCTCTTCACCCAAGTCGAGATCACGCCAAGCCTGCAGTGATCGCGCTCGTCTTCTGCTTACCTAACAAGCGCCTGTCAACGAAAGCGGCGCCCAAACGATGGCAGATCTATGGCGATAAATGCCGATGAAGACGACACGGTATCGCAACAAACGGTTTACTAAGGCAAGTATTACCAGCCCAGAGAAATATGTTTCTTGTGGTGAGAGGAGTCAGGCCAGACCCAGAGAATAAATCTACATGCCGAACAACACCTGCCTCGATCATGTGACCGCACTCGTCGTCGTAGCGGGCGCTGCCGGCACCGGCCTTACCACCTTATATCACCGCAGACATGAAACGATTTGCGCATGTGGCAAATGCTTAGCAAATGTCGACAGGTTTTTTGCCTTTGTGATCT